GGTGGGGACATAGGGCATAGCAGGAGGTGCGACCACCTCCTCCTCCTCCACCGCCTCCTCAAGAGTGATCGGGAAGAGGGAGGGAACGGGCTCATAGGGCATCGGACGCCCCGCATGCTCCTGTTGATGCCAGGCCTTCCATCCTGCCAAGGACATGGTCTCATAGAACACAGCTTCCACAGTGGTGATGAGGCGGTTGGACTCCAAGTCCAGCACGGTCCAGCCCTTGCTCGCTGCGGACACCCCCAAGTGCAACCCCCAGCGAGCCTTAGGCGCCAGCTTCCCCCCACGCTGCGACTGCGGCACCATGTACTGCACCATGCAGCCCCAGACACGCACCATACTGACATCGGGTTTGTGTCGAAAGGCGAGCTCGTACGGCGTCACACCAGAGGGCAGCGAGGCGTGCTCCACGCGGTTGCGCACCCAGACGGCCTGCGCCAACGCCAGGTGCCACCAGTGGTGCTGCACACCCATGTGCAGCAGCATCGTTCGCACCGCCTCCACAATGCTGCGCATCTCCCTCTCGGCCATCCCGTTCTGCTCCGGCGTGTACGGGCACGTGAGGTCATGGATGATGCCTTTGCCGTCGAGGAAGAGCGTGAAGTCATGCCCCAGGAACTCGCCACCCCGATCAGTGCGCAGCGCCTGCACCGTGGTCTTGCACTGTCGCTCAGCCATCGGGAGCCACTTCTGGAACGTCGCTAGCGCATCACTCTTCTGAGCCAAATGATAGGCCCAGACGTACCGCGACATGCGATCCTTCAGCACCAGGAAGTAGCGGCTGCCGTCCTTAGCTGCTTCACGAAAAGGACCACACAAGTCAGCATGCACCACGCCAAGCAGCTCATTCGCCTCCTCACCCACAGAAGGAAAGGTGTGACGGGTGATCTTTCCCCCAACACAGGAGACACAGGGTATGCTTGACTTGCCCCCCTTTTCCAAATCCAAGCCCTTCACTGATCCGTGAGCCGCAGTGCGCCCGATAGCATCAACACCAACGTGTGCCATACGTGCATGCCACATGTCCACCTTAGACCGCACGCCCGTCGTCAAGGTACGAAGGGCCACCGTTTCTCCTTCCTGCTGCTGCGTCGAACACGGCTGGAAGTTCGTGCAGAGAACACGCCCCTTGAACTCTGCACGCCCAAGAAGCGACCCATCTGGTGCTCGCAGTAGTGTCACGTCGCCTGCATCCAGCAGCTGCACGCCACTATCACGCAGCTGCCCAGCAGAAAGAAGACTCGCCTGCACTCCAGGTACGTACAGTTCGTCCGGCACCAAGACACGTCTTCCCCCCTCTCCAAGAAGAGCGATTGTGCCTCGCCCCTGCACCTCCTGAAGTGCGCCATTAAAGCCTTTAACCTGCTTGATACTGCCGTCGCTGCTCATCTCCACAAAGGCAGAACGATCTCCCATGAGATGGTGGGAGCATCCGCTATCAAGTAGCACGACGCTCGGGTTCGCCTTCACAGCAGCTGCAACAGCCTGTAAGCCCTCCCCGGCCTCAGGCTCCAGCACAACGAGAGGAGTCTGCTCTACAACGGGCTTCACCATCGCACATGATGACTGCCCGCTCCCCTTAGAGCCATCACCCCCCTTGCCGCTGCTACCTCCAGAACCCTCTCCACCAGTGTCTGCCTCCTTATCCGCCCGCTGCTGACAGTACTTAGCCACATGCCCTATCTGTCCACACACATAGCATCTCCCTTTGAAGCCCCCTTTCCCCCCTTCGGCTGACCATCCTTAGCCCCTTTCCACTTCTCCCCTCCGCTACCAACCCCACCCCCATTCTTAGGCTGCTGCTGCTGTGCCGTAGTGGGAGGGGAAGGGGATGAAGTCTGCTGGAATTGGGGCTTACCCTTCTTGATAAAGACTTGGTTAGCCTGGGGAAGAAATTGGTCCTTCCGTCCCTCCGCCGCCAGCGTACACTCCTCCTCGATAATGTAGCTAGCGAGGGTGTCCTCGTCCAACTCCTTGCGCACCTGCGGCAGCTTCAGCATCCTGCGTAAGAGGTTGTACTGCTGCGGCAACCCCTTCACGACGTGAGTAATGTACGACGCCTGCGAATAATCTACGCCGGCCATCCTCAAGTTCACTAGGATCTGCTGTGCACGGTTGCAATAGGATGTGGCGGACTCGTGCTCTCCCATCTCGAGGTTAGTGAGCGCCTGCTCTAACTGACCTATGTACAGGTCGTCTTTCGCTTGATACGTGCGCATGATAAACTGCCACGCTTGGAAGCCGGCATCTACCTTCATGCGACACGCCTTAAGGGCGATCTGTACGGTTGGGGAGCAGCATCGGGAAATCGTGGTGAACGTCAGTAACTGCATTGCGCGAAACTGTGAGACGAGTGCAACTGCGTGCGCTGGGGGAGCGGGTGTGGTACCGTCGATGAATCGCTTAAGCTGGGCGATCTCAAGCTGAGGCTCGATTGATTCTACCCACGTCGACAGGTCGTGACGTCCTTCTAACGGCTTAGGTACGACGATCTTGTCTGGAGTGAATTTAAAGAAGCCATAGTTGGGGGCTATTCCCTCGTCCCTCGTCATTGATCCAATCGGGGTAACGCCCGGCATAGCCTCACTATCGACTCCTTCGATATTTCCGCCTCCAGCAACGCTCCGTCGTCCTCCAATCTCACGCTCTCGTGACGCTGCCGCTAGATGAACACGCTCCTGTACGCCACCAAAGCTAGCCGTACTAAAACGCGCCTGTCCTCGCTGGACCCCACGCGACATCATCCTTTCAAACTCCTCGTCATCGCCATCTCCGCCATCAACAGCCATATCCCACGCACTAGTTCCTCCCGCGGCTTGCTCTACCCGTGGTGAGGGATGATCGCGACGCCGACGAGCGCGTAATCCTTCCCGCATGAGCTCGTATTCGAGATCACTAATCGCACCACGAGAATGCCGGGCCTCGAGATCCTCCTCTAGTGCACGAAAATTATTGGTCTCCACGTTCGCCTCCTCCGTACTCATCCTTTACGACGCCTCTATAAGGTACCACAAATTAAAATAAATTGTCCCTTCCTTAAAGCCGGCAGCCCAAATTGCACAAGTTTTAAAAGGTTGACGCGAGGGGGTTTTTGTGGTGAGGGTTTTGGCGAAAGATTCCGATTTCGCTTTTTTCGTTTTTTTCGCCAAACCCAGCCCGCAATCGTATTTCGCCCTGGGGGTTGGTTCAGTTCCCAAAAGTCCCAAATTGCAGGCACGCTTTTCTTCAAACCTTGAAAACACTAGTTCGTCAAGTTTTAAAAGCTTGACCCGCGCGGCCCGCAATTTGGGACTCGGGCTTTAAATCCCTCGTCTCGGGGTCACCTCACAAGGGTCCTCAGACGAGTGGTAATAAATTACCAAACGCCCTATCCTTGGGTCCGAGAACGTAACTGGAGGGAAATTAAGAAAGGTTCAACTTAAATTAATTAGCGTCCTTCACTAACGTCGCACGCCAAGGTGAGTATACGAACGTCACTATAATCGACGACGGAAATCTATGCGTGTTCGTTCCACGCTCACCGCACCATGAAGGAATATTATGGAGAGCGATACGACGACGAGAGAGTTTCGGCTATGGGAACGATGTTGCGTCAGTAATTCGGTAGCGTTTGGGTAGCGTTGGTCTCAAATGACTAAGTGAGAAACCAAGTAGAATTGTAATATCAACTATGAAGTTCATACAAGCAAACACACAATAGATATATGGCTACGGGAGAGTTGCACAAAGTTGCCGTGGCGCTGCGCAGTAACCCAACCCCACGAAACTGTCGTGTGGGTGGGTGAACGCGCCTCGGCCAATTCCCAACCCAACTCAGCAGCGCAAACCACTTCCGTGCACGCCACTCCAGCCAACACTGCAAGGAGTGGCGTGACTCTCAAAGAAGCACGCCCAACTCCCAAAGACCCACGCCATCCTGCACTGACTCCGCCGAGTTTGCTGCGGTAGCTCGCTGTCACCCACAGTCACTAGTGACTGCCACCGAACGCATGCGTCGGTGCCGAGTAGACTCAGTCGTTAGGCGCTGACCTGCCAAGTCAAAGGTCATCGAGGGCCCTTGCTGTCGTAGGGCCCTCTAACAATTCTTCTTGCCTGTTACCAGGTCTCCACATCCTTCCGGTACTCCCGCCTCTCAGCCGCCCCTTCCTCATTTGCCTGACCCCTTCCGCCTTCCCCATTTCCCGTCCCCCCTTTCCCCAGCGCGTTTCCGCAGGCGCGGTTTTTTGCAGCGGCAGCTCCCGTGGTGACGGCGGCGCAGCTCTTGCTGTTGGGACTGGGCGTGACGCGCAGCGACGGCATCGTCAAATCCATGAGCCGCAGCGGTAGCAAAAGGTGAGGAAAGGGTTTGGCCGTGAGGGGAAAGGGGAAAGATCGCGCGGGGACATGGTGCTGCTGGGGCTGGGCGTCACGTGCAGCGACGGCATCGTCAAGTCCATGAGCCGCAGCGGCAATGAGAGGTGAGGGAATGATTATAGAGTGTCGCGCACGGCATCGTCAAGTCAAGTGAAATGAGCGAGGGTTGGGGGAGGAAGGAGCGAGATGAGTGTTGCTAAATTGCCTCGAAATTTGCTGGAAAATCGCTCTGGGTGCGAGGCCGGAGGTGAGGGAATGAGGGTTCAAGGGGAAAATCGCCCCTCCAATCAGTGAGCCACGGCGGCAGCAAGCGGAAGGGGAAGGGCCGGGTGCAAGCGACGAGGTGGGGAAAAGGTTGGGGCGCAGGGCGAGATGGGGGAAAGCATGGGGTGCAAGCGGCGAGGTGGGGAAGAGGATGGTTCGCAAAGGGCGGGATGGGGGAAAGGACGAAGAGCGCGCGGCGCGAGTGAGGACTTTCCCATGCGCCAGTCCTTTTCGACGGACTGGCCGCGCTGCTGGGGTGCGGGCGCGGCGCTGACCGAGGGACTGGATTCGGTGAAGTGTACAGTGCGAGGAAGGAAATAATAGAGTATGTTTTAGGCACATGTAAGGGGTCTTTATGTAAATACAAATTAGTCACACCCATGGTATGTTATGCGATTAACTGCACTCGTGCTAAATGTCTCCCTTTTTTCCATTCTTTTCTTTTGTGATGACTGCAGTGAACTCTTAAGCGGGCCTTTGTGTTATGCAGTTACCATCATGCTCATGACTGTCGTGTTCTGGAGAACGTCACCTGTGGGAATGCTTGCTCTTGTCATCATGTGTGGTGGAGATGGTGAGTCAGCATGGGCATGAGTCAGCATGTGCATGAATCAGTATGAGTGTGAGTCAGCATGGGCTTGCCAAGATTATCCTCCAACCTTTGACCGTTCATTTAGTCCATCTGCTGCATCTCTGACACAACCCTGACGAATTTGTGACGCATCTCTGACGCGTTGCTTCCATACCTAGCACTGCTCCTATCCGCACCTCCCGAGCCTAATCAAAGTTATTGCCCAACTTTCCTCCCTTCAGGTGTGGCGGACATTGTCGGGCGGCGGTGTGGTTCCTGGAAGCTTCCATGGAACGAGCAGAAGAGCTGGGCAGGCAGTGCTGCCATGCTGCTTTGCGGATTCTTCCTCTCCCTAGTGTATGTCCAGGGATTTTCTCAACAATAAAGTGTTTTGGAAATCTCTCATTACTTAAGGTGTCTCTTCATGCTCTGCCGTAATTCCAATTTCTGCTTTGCATACCTCCTCTCGCTGATGAGGTATCTTCCAAATGTGTCTTTCTCCTTCTGCTCATCTTCCGAAGCTTGACCTCACTTTTCCCCCATTTCCCTTTCCCTTCCAATCCACTCCCCTCTCCTCTCCCAACCCCGACCCCACTAACAGCTATTTATGGTTCTTCTGTTTCCTCGGCTACTTCTCCTGCCCCATCCCCTCCCACCCTCTCCTCCGGGTCTTCCTAATAAGCCTCGGAGCTACAGTAGTAGAATCTCTGCCGATTAACGGATACATCGATGACAACATCTCTGTTCCAGTCACTGCTGTGCTTTTAAGCAAGCTGCTACTAGCGAGTGCATAGCCAATGTGCCTGTAACAGGTGATAGGGCGCTTGATTTATTAGCCAGCAAATTAAGTCTCCTAGCTAGCGTACAATGCTTGCAATATATTTTGTTTGGTGTCAAATAAAGGCAGCATTGCATGTCTGACTGAGTTTTTTTACAGCTGGTTATTATTTACCATATTATACTCTCATTCCTGTTGATACTGAGAACTGCTGGGTTTTGAGTAAGAAATGAACATCTGCTGGAATGGAGAAGAAATGCTGAAAGTGCCTGCTACCATAACTCCGCAGTCTTTTCAAGCCGTGCTATGGTCGCCAAACCATGCCAATGAAATTAGAAAGTGCACACACCTAAAAAGGGTTCATGTCACGCGGTCAAATTATACCGTACCGGTAACACTTGGATGTGAAAGAAAGGTACCACCAACTGAACTGGGCTGTACTGTACACAATCTGCAACACTGAAACCACCTGCAACAGTTTCGAACCATGAACATTGAACACGCCCTACTACGGAGCAGTCTTGGTGGATGCCTTGTAAATGCGAAAGGCAGCAAAGCAGACGGTGCAGTTCCCAAGGAGGGTCATGAGGGACTGCAGCACCACAAGAACCTGATGGCATTGGTGGGTAGATGGGGTAAGGATTGGTTTACCAGTAAGACTCAGGACACTCCCCCAAGTGCGTTTTTGCTCCTCTCAAAGCAGACGGTGCAGTTCCCAAGGAGGGTCATCAAGGACTGCAGCACCACCAGAATCTGATGGGAGGGCAGAAGGATTGGTTTAAGTCTCACAACACTTCAAGAGCGCTTTTGCTCCTCTCACAGCAGACTGGGCAGTTTCCAAGGAGGGTCATCAAAGACTGCAGCACCACCAGAACCTGATGGGATGGGTAAAGAGGGAAGGGGTAGAAGTGTAGCACTCCTTTATTTCTAAGGGCAGTGAGTTATAGAAGAACCATGTGCATGCACACACGGCGACTTTTGAGTCGACTCAAAAGTCACCTCGTTACTACCATGTGCATGCACACACGGCTTTTGAGGCGCCTCAAAAATCGTCATAAAGAACCATGTGCATGCACACACGGCGCCCATGAGGAGAGGCACCATGGGATGGGGTGCTATGCAGCACGGCTCACACCTGATTGCACCGGTGCGGGCATTGCCTTGCTTCATCATCACTCTAGCTGCGGCGAGCTGTAAAAGAAATGCCATGCGCACATGGCGCCCATAAGCAGCAGCACCATGGCCCATGCCAACCCCCCCCATGCCATCACAGACAGAACCCTACTTGTATCAAGCTCTAGCACCCCGTTGCCTCTAGCTGCGGCAAGTTGTATGAGAAATGCAGAGGCACCATGGTCCATGGCTCTTACACGATTGCGCTGGTCCGTGCATGTATATAGCATACCTCTAGCTGCGGCGAGTTGTAGAAGAAATGCCATGTGCAGGCACACATGGCGCCCATGAGCAGCGGCACCATGGCCCATGCGAGGCCCCTCCATGCCCGCCTGCTCTCCGCTGCTCCGTACTGCCAAACCAGCGCCATGGCCACCACCCTGGGAGTGAAGGGGAGGGGAGAAAGAGCATGCGACCAAGGAGAAGACTGAAGCATAAACCCGCTCCTCCACTCCCCTCCCTCCACGCCCGCCTGCTCTCCGCTGCGCCGTACTGCCACACCAGCGCCATGGCCACGACCCTGGGAGTGAGTGAGGGGAAGAGAGCGAGGGGGAGGAGAGTAAGAGGCGGGAGGTGCAATCACGAGACGCTTGAAGCATCAGCCCCTCCATGCCCGCCTGCTCTCCGCTGCGCCGTACTGCCACACCAGCGCCATGGCCACGACCCTGGGAGTGAGTGAGGGGAAGAGAGCGAGGGGGAGGAGAGTAAGAGGCGGGAGGTGCAATCACGAGACGCTTGAAGCATCAGCCCCTCCATGCCCGCCTGCTCTCCGCTGCGCCGTACTGCCACACCAGCGCCATCGCCACCACCCTGGAGTATTGGGAAAGAAAGATTCCAGACGGGATGAGTGACACACCCCCCGCCTCCACCCCCTCCACTCCCTCCGCCTGCCCTCCGCCTGCCCTCCGCCTGCCCTCCGCCTGCCCTCCGCCTGCCCTCCGCCTGCCAATTACTGCCACACAAGAACCATGGCCACCCACCCCTTAAAACCAGGGTCTCGGTGCATTTTGAGTCGACTCAAAGTGTATTTTGAGTCGACTCAAAATATTTTGAGTCGACTCAAAACACACAAGAACCATGGTCACCCACCCCTTAAAACCAGGGTCGCACGTAGATCATTTGTTTTGCAGTTGATGGGAAACCCCCATTTCCTATTGGTTGACGAGGTGCAGAAAACGAAAAAGGGTGCAGCGAGGGATGCGAACGGAACTAAATCGTTTGTTGTGTTCCAAACCTTCTAGGTATGGAAACAGGCTCGGAGCCGAAGCTACAGTGCCAGTGAAATGTCGAGATTTGCAGAAAGTCACATGTACCTGAAATTTGTTTTGCAATTGGTGCTGAGGACGCGTCCCCTCTGGCTCGATCCTGCAAAAATCGATCTTTCACCGTACTGAAACCTTGATTAGTGCTTCTAAAACTTTCCGAAACTTTTCTAAGGGTACGTTCCTGGCTAGTGTCAAGCTTCCGGTCATCCGCGGATGACCGGAAGTTGGACCCACTTTGGGCCATCCGAGACCAACTTCGGGTCTTCCGGCCAAAAATTGCCCCTGTTTCCAGAAGACATAAAGTTTGATAGGAAGTTTGACCCAAAGCTTCGGGCCTTCCCGGGAAGGCCCGAAGCTTGACACGGGCCAGGAACGTACCCTAAACCCGCCAAAAATCGATCCTGCGAGCCAAAAATCGCACGATCGGTGCTAGAGGTAACGCGTCCTGAGGCAAAGAGGAGGAGTGTCGCACGCCAACTTCCCCAGCCAACCAGACCTCGTCTACACAAACGGGGTAACTCAAGCGTCAAATGTTTTGCAATTGATGGTGATTTCTCTTACTTGAGACCCTGGTATTAAGGAGGTAAGAGGGTAAGTAAGAGCCACAACCTGCCCAACCGCGTTTTTTCCGAGTCGCTCTCACCATTCGACCACGCTCGCCACGTGGATGATCCACGTGGGCAGCGACAGCGCGTTGGAGGGCTCGTCGGCCAATGAGAGCGCGCCAAGTAGCAGAAGCTGACTCAGACTCGCCAATGAGCCATCGCCAGCTGTCCCCGCCACTGCTCCCGCTGCTTCTGCAACCGAGCTGACGTCAGCCCCGGTAACCGCGGCAACGGCTGAAGGGGCGACAAGAGCACTCAATGCTGTGACTGTAGCGAAGGTGGGAATAGCAAGCAGGGATGTGGCATTATCGGAATGTCGCGAATCGGCGGTCTGGGGGGGAGCGCTAGAGGAAGAAGAAGAGGAAGAAAAGAATTTTAGAGCCGGATTTCGCGATTCTGCGACGGCGAAGACGGGAGGTACTATGGCGGTCCTTAATCGCCGCAGTGGTCCTAATCTCGCCTCATGAGACCCTCTCGAGCGCAACAGCCGCGCGAACGAAGCGCGGGGTGCAATGGACGAATCCAGATCGAGCTGAGCGAATGGCGGTTGTTGCGTGGCGTGGCTGAGCGGCGGCAGTGACGCCCTCGTGCTGGTGGTAATGGCCGCCATAACATCGAAACCAACAGCAAAATCTGAGGCTGAATTGCAAGTTTATTACATATTATAAAAATTGTTTACGTAGCCACAGCATCACGGATCTGTGGCGCAATGGTAGCGCGTCTGACTCCAGATCAGAAGGTTGCGTGTTCGATTCACGTCAGGTTCAAAGCCTGCTTTTTGCACTTCTCCGCCAGGTCGCTCCCTCCACTCCCTCCACCGCTCTGTTACGAACACCTCTTGTCATTTGCTATCTTGTTTTGGGGTTCCCTTCCCAGTCCGTCAGCGAATGGCTCTCCCGGAGTCTAGGCATTCTGAAGACAGCTATTATTAGTGCTTAGTCTCCGTTGGCGCCCTCTTCTCTTCGTATTGTCTTTGTTATTCTACATTTTGTTGGTAGCCACTCCGTTGGCGCCTTCTTCACTTCGTTATTAGCTCTTGGTTTCTCGCTTCTCGCTCTTTTCCCTTCACTTTTTTCTCAAGCAGCCAACTTTCCAACAATGGCTAGCGGTTCCCGAAAGAGGCGGTTCGATTTAACTCCCCACGCGAATGGCAACATTCTGTCCGAAGCGCCTTCCGAAGGAGCTATACCTGGTAGCACCTCGACCGCGAGAGGTAGCACGCGCGCGACCGCAATAGACTTAATTACTCCCGCGTTTACGGGAGGTATTTCTCCGCAAACCGCGATAGTCTTGGCGGAAACAGAATAGCAGCAGGTCGTTTGGAAGGGTCCGCGGGGGGCCCGGGGAGGGCTCGCAGAGCTGCTGGCGGAACGGCGGAAACCGCGATAGACTTGGCGGAAGAAGTAAGGGACTTGGGGGAAACTGTGATAGACCTGGCGGAGACCGGTGCAAGTCACGGGCGGAAGCGCCAAGTGCGCCAAGCGGCGGAAACGTCTCTCGCAATCTCAGCCGTTCATTCGACTCCCTCACCTTCGCGAGCCGTGAGAGCCTCGCGAGGGTCGCGAGGCCGAGCCGCGAAGCCAGTAGTGGAGAAGCGCTTAACCCGCTTCCTTCCGCATCCGTCGCGCGCGGTTCTAGACCGAATAGAACGCGCCTACGTGCATCGTTTGTATTTAATCGGCTTTGACTGGCCGCGCTCGCCCCGCGGAACTGGCGGAGGAGCCGGTAGCGCGGGGGGAACCGGCCGGAGCGCGAGCGTGGGAACTGTTGCGCCTGGTGCGGGTGGCGCGGGCAATGCTGGTCTCTCTTTGACTCTTCCGCCTCCGCAATCCTCTCAGTCCCCTTCCTCCCACCCTATCGTGTCGCCAAGCACTCTCGCTATTTCCTCTTCCCCCACTCCCACTCTCGCCAGTCCCCCCGCTCGCGCTCTCTCCTCCCCCCACACCCCTTCCTCCACCCCCCCTCCCGCCACCTCCCCGCTCCGCCCCTGCTCCTGCAACTTCCACGTGCTGGGCGCAACCGGTAACGTCTACACGGTTACCATTTCGCAGCAGCCGTCCTGCACGTGCCCAGACTACGGCAACGGCAACCTGTGCAAGCACATGCTCTTTGTGCTGCTGCGCGTGCTGCGCGTGGGCGAGGAGGATCCGCGCGTGTGGCAGCGCTCGCTGCTCTCTACCGAGCTGAACGAGCTTTTGGATAGGATAGATGCATTGGAAAGAAGAACACTAGCTGCTGCTGCGGAGGGCGAGGAGATTCTAGCGAGTCCGGCTGTAAGGGAGCAGTTTGCACGCATTGCTGGGGGAGCTCCTGGTTCTGGTGCTTTGGGCTTGAGAGATTCTGGTTCCAGGACGGAAGGTGACAGTCAGGATGCAGAAGTGGGGAAGACGGACCAGAGGCCAAAGCAGCGGCCAATCGAGGGGGACTGTCCAATTTGTTACGAGCCTCTAGGAGGGGAGGGAGCAGGGAAGCGTGGTGGTGGGAAGCCAGCAGAGACAGTGGTGTTCTGCCAGCGCTGCGGCAACAACGTTCATTCGGACTGCTTCTCGCGCTGGAAGGCTGCCAAGAGGGGCGGCATGGTGACGTGCGTTTGGTGCCGGGCTCCTTGGGGGGATGGGAGCACCACGCACACGGCTAGGGCACATTATGACAGGGATTCCGACAGTGATGGTTATGAGGACGAGGAGGGGCCACAGGAGTATGTCAATCTGTCGCAGTATTCTGAGGCTCACAGGAGTGCAGATGCCAGCTTGGAAACTCTGTATCCAGATACACACATGTTCTGCAGTGGTGGAAGGAGGAGGCTGAGGCGGCAGTGGTGGTAGTAAGTTAGAATTTTGCTTAGAGTAAGCTGGGCTTGCAATGGGATAGGATAGCATGATTGTTGAGTGCAATGGATGAATGTCGGTGGAGGTTGCAATCTGGAAAGTGCAGGTGTACTTGTGTGTGTGTGTGCTTGCAGCTTTTTGTAAAACAGTCCAGTAACTTATGTCAGCCTGTACTCTTTGCCGAGAGGACAAAGGAAATGTTAGTCAGCTACTAGATAAGTCTAGCATACCTAGATCCTCACACTAGCACCCCAGCTTATAAATACCCCATAGCTACGGTACGTACTTGTTGGAGTGACCCGTAAATGTGTTCCGAATCCCAGTAGCATATAGATATGCATTAGTTCTGGGAAATGGTGAACAGCGGTCCCCGAGGACCCCGAGGGAACCCAGACTTCTGCATTGCAGCTCTAAGTTTCCCAGGAGAAGGAGCGCCTCGCTTGGGAGAGGGCGCTGCTTTTGGGGGAAGAGACACTGGCACAGGCCCATGGGCCTGATTGGGTCGATGGCACATCCTCAAAATGTCTTCCTCTGTTGGAATCTCAAATCGTCGCTTCTGTGGCGTTCTTGACGTATGTGCATCCGCCTGCATTGACAAAGCACACTCACGTGAACATGATACTCCACACAATCCCATGCTGACAAAAAACTGAACGGTTTGCCTATGATTACCTTCAGATCCTCCTCCAGGTATCTCTTCATGCCTCGCTTCACATCCTCGACTTGCTGCTTGTGGTGCTCCAGTGCCAGTGGCACAGAATGAGATGACTCGGAAAGTGAGGATGCGATACTTGTTAGCTTCCCCTGCTGCGCACCATGACTTCCTGCAAGGGGGGGGAGCGAATTGAAGAACAAGTGTTCATAACATGCAAGGTGGCTTTGACGGAAATGTGAATCTACGAGCTCATAGTTAACCTGAAATCATAGTGACAAGCTTGTCAGCTCCTTCGTTGCACATTGCCTCAGCCTGCTCCTGGTCAGCTGTGGTGACGTTGCCAAGGCTGGTTGACTCGAGATGGCACTCCCTGCCAAGGTACACCAATGTAGTTTTTTTTTTGGGAAACAGGCGCTCAGACTGCAAAACTGGTGCGGAATGAATTTTTCTTTCAGTAGGCTTACCCGATGCTCTTTTTCACGCGGTCACAATAAGATTTGGACCGTGATGCAACAAGTGATCGATGTTTGCTGCCCTCTACATCCATCCTTTCCACGCAATCCGCACTGCATTAGGGAACACAGAGGAAGTTGAGGATTAAAAAACTGTGTGCGCGTGTGCGTAAGTGCATGTGGAACTCAATGCATGCACAATGGCACCAGGAAACTAAAGCAGAGAGGAGCAAGGAAAAAAGATGGAAAGCGTACAGAGGAGGGAATACAACGAACAGAACAACAGATGGAGGTTGTAAGAGGCTGAGGAAGATGCCTACCACGAAGCCACCATCTCGTCAGCTTCAGACTTCTTTCGTGCAACTTCATCTGAGGCCTCTGCGTCTGCCGTGGCTTCCTTTTGTCGAAGATCAGCAATGAAGCTTGACATGCTGGAGAAATCACCCTCCACAGCACGACTTGTATCATCAGTAGCGGAGCATAACTTGTTCACAGTGGCTTCCATGCGAGCAACTTCTTCTTTGACCTAAAAATGGCAGGCAACCAGGCATTAGGTAACATTGCGTTGGTTCACGAAATGACAGGCTGAATCGCGTCTTTTTGCTCACGCACCGCGTCCTCGGTGTTGGTCATCTCTTGCTGTGCAATCTTGGCCACTGCCTCTATAATCCTCTTGTACTTCTGCTTCTCAATATCCTGCAATCACAGAAACGTAAGCCAATGAGATACATCTTTCACCTTTGAACTCGGATGCCCCCACTTGCGACTTACCATCACCTTCTTCTCTAGTCTGCTCATATCCTCTTTATGACTCTCCTTGTGATGAGCTATCATGTCAGACCAAACAGTCGTCTTTTCATGCAATCGACCAATGACGGTATCCAAGGACGCCAGGGCAGAAGTTGACACTGTGCTGCGTTTCTCCGAATACTGCAAAATTCAAACGACAATGGATTAGCAGAACGAAAGTCGAGCACTTGAATCCCTAGCAAGCCGATTATGCCTACCTGATTCCACCACCCTTGCACGTTGTCCCAGCCAGTTGAGAGACCTGTCAGCAAACTTTGGATTTGCTGAAGTGATGCTTTGGATGACGCAGAAGCTTCTTCAAGTAACTGCAGGGACACGGTAGCCTTGCATGAGCAAAATGTGCAGTATTTGGAGCAATAAAATGGGGAAAAGAAGTTGTTCTTACGAACCTTCTCCATTTCCTCTTGCTGTGGGTCAAGACCGTCCATGAGGGACTGGAGAGAACTGTTGTTCTTGTCCACAAACTGCTGCACACGCTCCTTCATGAGTCGTGTCACCCCCAATACCGTCTGCCGCAACTGGGACACCTCTTCCGTCACTTGGCCCAAATCCTGCATAAAAAAGAATATTGGACAGTCAGTCCCTCACTGCTCAAAAGGCATGAATGCTGGCAGATAAAGAACCAACTTAGTAAATACCTTAGTTGACTGGCTGAGGACGCCTTCAAGGCCTTGTGATGCTTGCTGATCTTGAGAAGCAAAATCCTCCATCTGCTTTACTATGAAGGCCCGAACACTATCAACTTGATTGTCCATCTGCTGCTTCAAACTGGTAGCTGCATCCCGGTTATGGACTGAAGTCTCCTGCATTTTCTCTGATCAAAGAGCAAATGTCAGTACATGGGGTTTGGATAGGAAGGACGCAATTTCTAGGAACTAAGCTCACCAATCTTCTCAAACAGTTGATTATTGTCGTGGTTGACGGTGACGAGCATTTGTCGAAGGCTATTGCAGGTGACAACCAGCTGTGTCTCTGCCATCAAGTACAGGGCCGGAAAGCGAACTTCTTAGCAATGAGAAAGATGCCGAACAGATTGAGTTATATTGACCCACAAATGAGAGTGGGAGGCTGAAAAACTCCAGTATAAAAGTACAGCTGAACACATAACACTTACCAGCCTGAGTCATGCTTGCAATTGTTGACACTGCTTCTTGGAGATCAGCTTCAGTCTTCTCCAAGCTTCGGGAAAGCGAGTCAACATGTTCCTGGAAAACACAGAATTTGAGAATGTCAACACATACTCTGTACGGTTCGTTTCAACATGGAACCACATGACGTCAATCAGTGGTTTCAGTTACCTGCAGACCATCCCTCTCCTTTGTCAAATCATCCACTCGTCCCGAAAACACCTCCAGTTGCTCGTTCAGTTGCTTAATCTCCTGCACATGGCAACATTCATTTTCAGGTCTTGCTGCTTTGAGACCACGAAGAATTGCATTGGATGTGCACAACATTTCTTACCTCCGCCTTCTGCTCGAGCTCATCACTGTTTTGGCCAGTGAGGTCCTTGAGGGACTGCACCTGCTTTAGCAGGTTCTCGTGCTGCTGAACTGTAAGATGAACGCCATCCTTCTCGCGCTGAGCCTTCAACTCTGAAACATTAACACGCCAGTCGAGTTACACAGGAAAGTAGTAGACGATAAAAACATACATCCCAGCAGTTACGTACCTTGCTTCAACCTCTCAACTTCTCCTGCCATGTCCTTCAGCAGCTTTGACTTCGTCGTCCTTTGGTTTACCTGAGAATATAGTCAAACGTAAGAACTCATACTGATTTCAGATCACCAAATGCGGAGAGTTCGCGATGCTCACCTCTGGCTTGTTCTTGATATTCTTAGCACGCTGAGCATACTCTAGCGTGTTCAAGGTCTCTTCCAAGCAAGGAGCGACAGGAGAGACTGTTGCAATAATGCAAGTCTTTGTCCGGCCTCCAAGAGAGTCACGAAGCAACCTTGTGAGCTTGCTGTCCCTGCATGATTCGACGTTGTAATCAGTATCAACCCATTGATAAAGTTCCATCTACAATTGAGGTCACACCATTGACTGATCTTACCTGTAAGGAACGTGACCAGTGTGGTCTACAAGGGCTGTGATTACTCGTCCCAAAGTCAGGAGACTCTTGTTGATCTCACCAGCTTCTCGTGCGCGTCCCTGGAAAGAATCATGAAAAGATTAGTTTGCTGAAATGAACCATCCATAAGGCTTCATGTACCAAAACTCACTTCTTTGGCGCCAGATCGTCCTATGCACTCCGAACCAGCAAGGTCGACCAGGTTCAACTTCCCGCACTTTATCAGTTCCACACCCTCCGGAGTTGACTCCTTGATGTGAATAGTGATAGTGAAGATGGAGTGGGAGCGGCTGCACATGAAAGGATAAACACAGCACATACAGATTCGTTTAGGCTGTCATAAAACTACAGTAGCGAGCAAGCATGAGGAAGTAATGGAAACGAACCTGGATTGCTTGTTCAGCATCGTCTCTGCTGTCCGCCGCTTGGCCGACCCCCTTTCCAGTAGTGTGAAAATGTCAGACGAGTTGTTGACAACTTCTTCTTCAAGGCCACGCACAATCACTCCCCCTTTTCCATCTTCCATCAAGGCGATTGGCTTCTTTGACTCGGACGACACAAGGATTTCGTTTGGAGCCAGAAGGTCCGTAATCTCTTCGTTGTAAAGTTCCAGATAAGTTACTTTGATGTTGTACTCGGCCCCCTGACTATCAAGGGTATCGAAGATATGCTTGATAGACCGTGGAATAACTCCTGCTCCTTCCGGAAGATGTCCATTCTCCTGGGAGAAAAACAGAAACGCTGTTAGTACGGCAGGGAAAATACCAATTCGGGATTCGGGTCACGGTTCGGCACTCACTCCGGCTCGGGTTACGTCTCCTTGCATGGTAAAGGTCTTCCCCGTCCCCGTCTGACCGTACGCGAAGATCGTACAGTTGAAACCTTCGAGGACCTCCTCTACAATAGGTGCGATCGCGAGCTTGTAAAGGTGTTGCTGCTTCGACGTCGGTCCAAATACCTGCAGAGGACGTCCGTCAAACTCTCAGCGAACGCGATTTCTAGTTTGAGAGTCGATCGACGTTGCTATTTCATTGCACGAAACTTACTCTATCAAAATTGAACGCCCTTTCGCTTGACTTTCCCGCGACGTTATGCGTGACCATGACTTCCTTGCGGGATTCATTACATTTGACCACCTGTTGTGCTCTCAGCCGCACATCGTCCGAGGATAGCGGCCTGATCAAGAAGGAGGCGACGATCAGTACGATTGAAATCAATTTCCATTAGCTTAACCAGAGCTTCTACAGCGAATTATTTACCTGCATCGTAATAATACTTGGACATTAACTCCTTTGTCAGTGTTGTTGGACGCCATAACGTCCAAACTCACTCAGTCAGCCTAGCTATGCGACAGCCGAACTTGGAAATTAAGGACACACACGCTATGCTGTTCGTAAATCACAAGCCAGAGTACTGGTAGTTAGCAGTCTAAACTGCTGTTCCTAGGACGTAACAACAATCGCCTTGACTTCACTCTTGGAGTGTCAGTGACTAAGGGGAACAGCGTGCTTGATTGCAGCAGGGAGACCCAAGGAGATGATGAAGATTCATTTCTCCCCCTAGGCCCCCTCCGGGGTTTCGTCAGTCTGCTCTTGGGCATTCCAGATCGAATCGCGTCAGACCTAGGAAATGCCGTGTCAGTCAGAGACTGCTTGTCAGAATTCAAAAATTTGGCGCTCAAAAGATTTCGTTCGCTAAGAGATGAGCTCGCTGTCGAAGAGCCGGAGATGAGGGGTGCAGAACATTAGCCAGAGAAATAATAGCACAACAAAAAGAGTATGATAAGAATGATATATCAAGCAGAGATCATATCAATCTAGCATACTGTGGAACATTCTAAAATGGAGCATTGGTCAAGAGTCTGATCCATAGTATTGATACAAATACTGCCGCTTATTTGTGCATCTTACTGCTGTCTACTGCAGCAGCGCACGGATAATGTGCTTCACATTCAGGCGGCGCAGGTCAGTGTAGGTCTGACCACAGCCGACAAAAATTATGGGTGCCCCTGACACATACACCATGGACAGGGCAGCACCAACCTGCTCACAAAAAGGAAAAGAGCACACAAGCTATTCAGCTGATACGGGTGCTAAACCAAAACATGGCCAAATGCCTCAATTTTGTTGAAACACAAGGGTGCATAATCCACCGCATCCCTGTAAAACGAAAGCTAGAGCTCACCTTATCATCAATAGTGTCAAACTTGGTGAGTAAAATGCCGTCAATAGCATGGGGAGTGGGCGCAGAGGAGAGGTCAGCCAAGCGCTGGTTGAACTTGGTCAGCTGATCCACTGCATCGTTGCCCACCAATGCCTCCCCCACAAACAGAACCTGCCAACGCCCATGGGCATGGGATGGGATGGATGGGTATACACAACACACAAGTTTATTTTCAAGGAGGGGGAAGAGGTCAGCCCAGCGCTGGTTGAACTTGGTCAGCTGATCCACCGCATCGTTGCCCACCAGTGCCTCCCCCACAAACAGAACCTGCTCATCGCCATAGGTAGGGCACAGGATGGGCACGTACACCACACAGGTTGATCAGCACCCAGAGCAATGCGACAGCAACCAGCAATGTGACAGCAACAAGCAATGCGACAGCAACCAGCAATGCGACAGCAACCAGCAATGCGACAGCAACCAGCAATGTGACAGCAACAAGCAATGCGACAGCAACAGAAGGGCAGCGGACAAAATAAACCAGCACACACCCACACAAACACCCACCCACCAGGTCAGGCTCGTTGATGTTAATTAGCTTGGAGAGCGCTCGCATGAGCGGCTCGTTGTCCTGCATGCGCCCAGCCGTGTCCACCAGCACCGCATCCATCTTGGTGCGCGTCGCCTCCCTGATCGCCTCCTTCGCCACGGCTGCCGGGTCCTTCTCGTACCCCCGCTCAAACAGAGGAATCTGGGGGGGAGGGGGAAGAACGGGGAGAGAGAATCAGAAAGAGAGGCAGACACCTCATACATCCCACTAAATAGGTGTTTTAAATTCACACACACTTCATACGATCCCACTAAATAGGTGCATTAGATCCACACCTCATACTACCATAGTAGAAACTACATAGCCAGGGGCTTTAAGCGCACCTGCAGCCTCCTGGTGTGCGTCCTCAGCTGCTCCACAGCTCCGGCGCGGAAGGTGTCACACGCTGCCACCATCACCTTGATGTCGTGCTGCGACAGCCAGCCAGCCAGCCATGCAGGCCGCACCTCATACTACCACACGAGATAGGTAGGTAGAGTCATTAGGTTAAGCGCACCTGCAGCCTCCTGGCGTGAGTTCGAAGCTGCTCCACTGCCCCGGCGCGGAAGGTGTCACACGCCGCCACCATCACCTTGATGTCGTGCTGCGACAGCCAGTAGGCCACCTTGGCCAGGTTGGTGGACTTGCCCACCCCGTTCACCCCCACAAACACCACCACGTATGGGCGGTTTGCCTCCTTGGCAGCCTGGGGGGAGAGAGCCGGGGAGAGGATGAGAGCGGAAGAGAGAGAAGGTGGGTATGCAAGATAGAGGCTGGGTTGTGACAGCCAGTAGGCCACCTTGGCCAGGTTGGTGGACTTGCCCACCCCGTTCACCCACACAAACACCACCACGTAGGGACGATTCGCCCCCTTGGCAGCCTGGGGAGGGGGCAATGAAAGGGCGAGAGGTAAAGAGGGAAGGAAAGAACACCTGGGCCCATGCAACCCTGGCAGCCAGAATGCCAAGAATGCCAGCCAGAATGGCACCTTGGCCAGGTTGGTGGACTTGGCAGAATGTCGATGGAGAGCTAGAGCGTAAGGATACGCGCGTGAGAGAGAGAGCCTACTCCATGGCTGCCTGTCCTGAGGAGTGCGGGGTAACGGGTGACCAGACGCGTCGTTGCTCACCTGTACATCTCCTAGAATGTCGTGAGGATGCGCGTGAGGGCGTCCTCCACCGCTGTGCCCCCTTCTTTGCTCCCCCACTCCTTTACTCACCTCTGGCTTTCTTTATCCTACTTGTTTGAGGCGGTCACTGCTCTCACCTGTACATCTCGCAGAATGTCGATGGAGCGCTTGGGAGTGAGGATGCGCGTGAGGGCGTCCTCCATGGCGGCCTGCAGCAGTCACGGGTGGGAGAGGGGAGGGAGGAGAAGGGACGGGAAACGGACGAGACATGGATCTCGAGGGATTGGAAGTGATAATGCATCTCCTCGTCTCTCTCATCTCATTCATCTCTCTCGTCTCTCCCCTTCCCGGCCACTCAACGAGCCAGCCATGAAGCAGATTCCGTTTGGGATGGTTGAACACAATAGTGTTCCATGTGGCTCGACGACGTTTTATGTCCCGGTGCCGATTCCAACGTCGTCGAACCACCACGAGAGAAACCAGTGTGCTCAACCCTCCCGAACAGAACTTGCTTCATGGCTGGCCTGATGAGTGACCGAGAAGTCTTCTCTCCGAGAAACCAGCGTGCTCAACCCTGACGAAACCTTCTCTCTTTCGCCCCCTTTTCCCTCCCTCCTTCCCTCCTTCCATCCCTTCCTCCCTACCTCTCCCGCTCTCTCTCCCATTCTCCCTCACCCTTTTTCTCTCTTTCTCTCTCTCACACCTGCACGGTGGAGGAGATGCGTGTGAAGGACGCATGCTTGCTGCCCACGAGGCTCGACGCCACTGAGCGACACAGCTTCTCCGCTATTTCCTCCGCCTGGTGCGATCAGGTGAGAGACACACACACGCAAGGCAAAAACAACCGGAATTAAAAAGGGGAAGGGGGAGAGGGGGCGGGGGGGGATACGGACTGACTGAAGGAATCAGAAGCGGACTGGGCGACTGGCAAAGAGGATAGCAGCGGGGTTGACAGATGAGTTGACAGGTGGGGACGGGGTAGATGCAGGGGGCAACAGCTTACCACGTTCTTGCTCATGAGGCGGTCCTTGAGCACCTTGAGCGACGGCTCTATGTCCGCCAGCTCCAGCGACGCCTTGCCCACCACGCTGAAAGGCGGGGAGAGAAAAGGGAGAGAAGGGAGAGAAGGGGGTTAGATGTTGCAAAAAAAAGCAAGGCGGTGCGGGAGAGGGAGTGAAATGCGAGAAGAGAGAGAGGGTGGGAGAAGAGGGAAATGGGGAGGGGAGGTGTGGGGTGATGCGGATGTAGGGAATGTTCGCAGCTACAGGGGCGCCTTGCCCACCCGCTACAAAAAGCACCTCCCCCCTTCCCGCCCTCCCCTTCCCTCGTACCTCTGGAAATCGAAAGCGGGCAAAGCTGTCCTCTTCCCCTCACTGCCGATTCCCCCCGCCCCACACACGTGACAGAAAGTCCCCCCTTCCCGCCGTTCCTCCTCCCCCTCTCCCCCACTTCCCCCTTCCCCCCTTCCTTCTTACCTCTGGAAAACCGAAGCAAGCCATCCAGTCTTCTTCCCCTCACTGCCATCGTCCCCGCGACCCACGTGCCTGCGCGACCCCTTCCGCTCCCTCCCCCCTTCCTCCTCCGACTCCTCATCCTCCTCCCCCCACTCCGCGTCCTCCTCCTCCTCTTCTTCATCTCGATCCATCATGCTCTTCCCCACCTTCGCCACGTCGACAACCTCCACGTCAGTGTCATGATCCGAAGCTTCCGAGAAGTCCTGCCGCTCCAGAGCCGGCCCGTCGTTATCCCACTTCCTCATCTGCTTCTTAGGTTTTTTCGATTCGCTTTCCGACGCGCTTCCGTCGGCTTTTCCGTCGGATTTCCCGCCGCCTTTTGCGGGATTCAACGGGAAGTCGAAAAGCCCGTTACCAGTTTTCTTCGCCGCAGCCTGCTTGCGGCTGGCGCGGTTACGGAGCTTCGAGACGTCAAAAGCACCGGCAGAGGAGACGGCAGAGCTGCTGCTGGGACGGCTAGCCGGCTGCTCTGCCTCATTGTTCGCCGCTCCGTCCTCATCGCCGGTTTCGTCGCTCCCACTGTCTCCGCCATCTTTCGCCACGCCTCCCTTTCTCTGATTAGCTCCTGTTCCTTTTCCTTTCCCCGCTCCCGCGGCCTTTTGCATGCCTTTGCCCTTTTTCGTCTCGCCGAAATTGGTAACCTGCTTCGGCCGCTTCAATTCGTTCGCATGCTGTTCAGATTCGCGAAGCAGCTGTTTAAAAACGTCGTCAAAATCCGGATAAGACGTTTTCTTCGGATCGTAGTGCCCATCCGCAAACTCATCCCTAACAGCCGTTAACAGATCATCCACATAAAGCAACTGCAGCATACGCTGGTACACCGCCACGAACACCAACCCTAACTCGTTATGGAAGGACCACTTTAAGGTATAGGCCGATTGGTCCTTGGAATTGTATTGGAACGTCTTCTCGCCGGACCGCTCCTGCAGCAGGCAGTTCTGAATCAGCGCGTCGATCGGCGAGCCTTTCATGGCCGTCATCTGGAACGTCCAGAGGACCAGCCCGCCGCGCGTAAAGATCGAGAAATGGTCCAACATCGTGACGGCTTCAGTTGCCTGCGATGCTAACTAATCAGGTCGGTACGGTTCACAGAAAATAAGTTGCAAACCCTCCTGAAGCTACTCCTAATCTGAGAACTAGTATCTGAATTGTGGGATCTTGTATTCGAGCAACATCCAAGGACATGGGCAAGTCTGAATCTCATGCGCGGTGGAATGCGATGCGTTGCCTTTAAAGAGCTACAATGAAACATATAAAAGCGGTTGAGAAGGGTGAGCAACTTTTGAGGGAAGCCCACAGCTTCCTCCGAACCGAACGGGGCGGAACGCGTCGGTGGGGAATGACGGAGATCGAACGGCTGTGTGTCCCTGGCTGTAATCTGGTGAGACGAAAAGAACCGAGTTTGTGTGAGCCTCGAGATTATCAACAGGTTACGAGCTGTGTTCAGTTCCCTTGTTCACATCATGTACACCACGAGTATGGTCAGCATTTTAGGAGATTCCACAACGGGATAAGCATTTGGAAGCATTCATATATTTGCCTTTCCACCACTAGTAAATTTGGCGTACTCTCCAAGGAAAAATATATACACGCCAATAGTGAATACAATAACAATCTAAAACGACCCCACTGTACACTCCCATGATGGATTGCGTATCAAGCACTGTATGAAATGGAGGGGCAAGCAGCCCCACCATCCATGTATAGCTAAAAGAAATCATGCATCCTCTTCACTGCTCTCGGCTGGGAGCAGGGGCAGGTCCACTGTCCGCCCGTACACAAATGTTCTAAGCAGCGGCGGCACCCCAACTTGCGCAAGCCAAGTGCTCAGAGCTGCTCCTTCCACTGTTTCATTATCTGGTGCATGAAGACACGGGAGAATATGTAGAAAGGACGAATGGCATGGGTAATCATTCATGGGAAAATGGGAATAAACACACAGGGACAAACATAAATAAGAAACGGGTCTAGCTACACATTAATGCAGCAATCACCCGGCAACTTTACCTGGCAGTTTCAAGACATCTCATGTCTCACCTTGCAGCGTCCTTCTCAGGTCTTCCAAAAGGCCTCTATGCACACCAGCACAGCCCGGGCCACCTCTAGCGCCTCTTGCAGCAGCTGCTGCACCTCATCTCATCCTGCACCTGATCCGACAGCCTTCCCTGGTCCTTCTTCTATACAAGATTGAGACACCTCGACTCTCACCTCATCCTGAACCTGATCCGACAGCCTCCGCTATGCAAGATTGAGACACCTCGACTATATACGCATCCTGTACCTGATCCTTCCCCCCCCAGGCAACAATCAACAGGCACTCTCAACCCTCACCTTGCAGCGTCCTTCCCAGGTCTTCCAGCAATCCTCTATTGCACACCAGAACCGCCCGCGCCACCTCTAGAGCCTCTTGCAGCAGCTGCTGAACCTCATCCTGCACCTGATCTGACAGCCTCCCCTGGTCCTTCCCCCCCAGCCAAACCCTCCCCCTCCGTCCAGCCCCCCTCCTGCCAGGGTTCCCACTGACATCGGCCCTATGGTCCCACTCAGCCCATATTCCGCTACAGCCTTGTAGGCCACGTCTGTAGCGCGACGAATATCGTCCACCGCTCCTGTAGAGATTCTCCCGCCAAAACAGACGTCTTCTGCCGCCCGGCCCCCGAGAAGGACGGCGAGCTGGCCCCGGAGCTCGTCCACGAACACTAGAAGACGCTCCTCGCCGTCCGCTGGGGGCGGCATGTAGGCGAATCCTAGCGCGCCGCCCGATCGGGGTACAATGGAGATTTTTTGGACTACCCGCTGGTCAGGTAAGACTTTCGCAATGGCTGCCCCCAGCAGTGCATGGCCTGCTTCGTGCCGTGCTACCACGGCTTTTTCTGCCCGACCAAGAGCCGACCGTTTCTTTTCAATTCCCTGTGCAACACAGGAAAAAAAGCACGCATGTAGATAAATCAGTAGGAAAAATATATCAGATCCGAATTATTATCACACAATATGTGCCGACATCACAGCCAGAGCAACACTGAGAGCATAGCCACACTCACAACAGAGCCCGTTCAACAGCACTAGTCCTGCCTTGTGACCTCCTCATGGCCCCTCCCTACAATCACAATTCACGTCTCAATCGCTCCCTATAATCACACTCTTGGTTCAGCCACACTCACAGCAAGAGCCCGTTCAACAGCGCTGTCGAAGTCCTGCCTCGTGACCTCCTCGTGGTCCCTCCTTGCTGCCAGCAGCGCTGCCTCATTCACCAGATTGGCCAGATCAGCCCTGGAATTGGGGGGGAAGAGGTTGAGGGGAAAGGAGAGATGAGGAAAGAAGGTAAGGGTACAGCACGACAGTGAGGGAGTAAAGATCAGAGACCTCTGGTCATCCCACCTCAACCCATCTCAACCCCTCTCAACACATACATGTACCCTGTAAATCCGCTGGTGGCGACAGCAATCTCCTGAGTGTCCACATCGCTGGCCACAGGCAGCTCCTTCTGCTCCACACCTCAACCCATCTCAGCCGACCTCAACCCTTCTCAACCACTCTCAACACACACACTCACCCAGTGAACCCGCTGGTGGCGACAGCGATTTCCTGAATGTCCACATCGCTGCTCAGAGGCAGCTCTTTCTGCTCCACATGCACCGTCAGTATGGCCTCCCGCCCCTTGCGATCCGGAGGCTCCACCTGTAAGCGGGTGTGTGTATGGGAAAATGGTAACCAGGGTCAATCAATCAATGAACAAGGATCTGGTTAGATGATGCAGTAGATGGTTAGCTTAGCCTTGCTACTGTGAATGATGATGCCATCTAGTACCCATCCGCACACACACACACTACATACACCACGGCCCTCTGCTGCTCAATGTCACCACACTGCCTCGCTCAATCACCGCACCGCACACAAAGTACCGTATGGCACACCTCACAACCGTTCCTCACCGCTACGATTCGATCGAAGCGCCCCGGGCGGCGCAGGGCGGGGTCGATGACGTCTGCTCTGTTGGTGGCTGCGAGGACGATCACCGCCGTGCTGCTGTCAAACCCGTCCATCTCCTGTTGGTGAAGAATGCAAGGGTGCAGGGATGCAATGCAAGCACGCAAGGTAGTGTGAGGGCAATCACACAGGGCGAGGTCGATGACGTCTGCTCTGTTGGTGGCTGCGAGGACGATCACTGCCGTGCTGCTGTCAAACCCGTCCATCTCCTGTAATGACCGATGCAATGCGAGGGGTGCACGGATGCAGCAAGGCAAAGTGAGCATGCAAGGGTGTTACAGGCGCAGGCGCAAGGGTGTTACAGGCGCAGGCGCAAGGGTGTTACAGGCGCAGGCGCAAGGGTGTTACAGGCGCAGGCGCAAGGGTGTTACAGGCGCAGGCGCAAGGGTGTTACAGGCGCAGGCGCAAGGGTGTTACAGGCGCAGGCGCAAGGGTGTTACAGGCGCAGGCGCAAGGGTGTCACAGGCGCAGGCGCAAGGGTGTCACAGGCGCAGGCGCAAGGGTGTTACAGGCGCAGGCGCAAGGGTGTTACAGGCGCAGGCGCAAGGGTGTTACAGGCGCAGGGCGGGGTAACTGCTGTGCTGCTGTCGATTCCATCCATCTCCTGTGGGGAACAGGTGCAAGGGTGCAGGAAGGGTGTGTACGGGTGCAGCAGGGCAGGGTCGATTAAGACACAGAAATATTGTAGAATGAATCGTCCGCTCTGTTGGTGGCTGCCAGGACGATCACCGCTGTTATGCTGTCAAACCCATCCATCTCGTCGTCGCCCACACCACACTGCCCGATAAAAATCTAGTTAAGAGACACAACTCACAGCATGAGTGTCAGCCTGTTCCAGTCGAGGCTTGTTCCCCTTCAACTCACCGTGAGCAGCTGGTTCAAGGTCTGCTCCCTCTCGTCGTTGCCCACGCTGCGCATGCGCCCATCTCGCACCTTGGCCACTGCATCGATCTGATGACGGGGGGGGAGAGACAGCATGGAAGGAGGGGGGAGCGCATGAATCAACTCAATAACCGGACACAACTGGTCACAACCTTGAACAGTTGGACTTATGAGTTGCGACTCAAGAGCTGCTCGCACACACAAAGGACACTACTACGAGCTCATTTCATCAACAAACACAATGGAGGGTGAATCCTTCTTTGCCTGTGAAAAGAGCTCTCCATTCAACTCAAAATTCCTCTGGCCTGATCACCATCACTAAAAGAAAACCCGTTACAAGCTCGCTGCTTGCCTCATCAACAAACGCAATGAAGGGTGAATCCTTCTTTCCCTGCGCAAACAGCTCTTGACTCCCCGGCACCACCTGCACCACCGCACATTGTCATACACTGCCAAGCATTGCACTGCCTCACACTCCCTGATGCCAGGGAGTCAGAGACAATGCAATGCTTGACAATGCAATGCTTGACAATGCAATGCTTGACAATGCAATGCATGACAATGCGTGGTAGTGCAGGTGGCGTAGGGAGTGTGAGGCAGTGCAATGCTTGGCGGTGCATCCGTTCACCCTATCATCCACCTGCAAGCTCTCTTAACCATCCCGCTATAGACTAACCATCTCTTAATCAACAAAGACAATGGGGGGCGAGTCCTTCTTGGCCTGGGCAAACAGCTCTCTCACTCGCCTCACCAGCCGCTTTCATTTCAAAGCTCAACCCGCTTCCACCCCATCCCATCCAGCTGTCAACTCACCTCATCAATAAACACGATAGAGGGTGAGTCCTTCTTCGCCTGGGCGAACAACTCTCTCACTCGCGACGCCCCCAGGCCCACATACAGCTCCACAAACTCGCTACCGCTGCAGCTTATAAAGGGTACGTCTGCCTCTCCTGCCACTGCCTTGGCCAGCATCGTCTTTCCCGTGCCTGGCGGCCCAACCTGAAAGGCAGGCTCGGCAAAAAGGGGAAGAAGGGTAGAGGAGCTTTAGCCGAGGAAACTTCTGTGTTTGCTAGCTTGGTTACGACTTAGGTTGAGATCCTAAGCAGCAATAACAATGAGCAAGATCCACTCGAAAGCACCACCTTTAAAACCACGCTAAGGAAGGTGAAAAAGCATACAAGCAAGCAACATTGTGGGAGGCAACAATCACCCAGCAGGCAGCAAACGCACTCACCAGCAGCACTCCTCTGGGGGGTCGAGCTCCCAGTCGAGTGAAACGTTCGGGCGTGCGTAGGTACTCCTGGGGAAAAGAGGCGAGGACGAGAGGGGCGAGGATGAAAGCAACGAAAAAGAAATTTAATCCATTGGGTTTTAGTCATTTTGGTTTGGTATGCGCAGAATAGGTACCACTTGGGTGACGAGGTGAGGAGGAGAAAAGAAAGATGAACACGAGATGAAGTTGGTCGGTGAAGCTTGGCGTTTAAGTTGCCAAATACGCTTATAGCGTATATACGCTTATCGTATATACGCTAGCGTATGTAAGCTATCCGCTTAGGGGGCGATTTGGATATACGCTTTTTCGGGCAGTGAAAAAACTTCCCCAGGCAGGGCAAAAACAACCGCCAGGGCTATTATAGGGGGGAATCTAGGGTGTTATGTTTCAGAGGTGACATTTTTACCCCACAATTAGATTGCAACTCCTATACACATTTCTACATAATACTCTCCTACCGCCAGGGCTATTATAGGGGGGGAATCTAGGGTGTTATTCCACGATTTTTTTAGGTCGGGCTGCCCCAAAAAAAGATTTGCCAGCGTTTAGCGTATTTGCTGGTGTTTAGCGTTTAGTGTGTAAACGCCAGCGTATATCCGCTAAACGCAAAGGGTCTCTAGCGTTTTTGGCAACTTGGCGTGTTTTGAGTCGACTCAAAACACACGAGGAGGAGAAAAAAAAGATGAACAAGAGATCAAGTTGGTCGGGGAAGCTTGGCCAAGTGTTTAGTTAGATGGGGAAAACAAGTGGGGTGGGGGAAAAGGAGATGAGGGGGAGAGGGGGAAGAGGAGGGAAATGGAAGAGGAACAAGGGAAGCAGAAAGGGTAGATTGCGAAGCGGTAACGGCCTTGGAATGCAACGGGGTCGAGTTTTGATTCAACTCAAAACTCGACTCATTACACCTTGGCATGCAACGGGGCCTGCACTTTCCACTTAAAGCCCTCCCCTCCCTTTACTCCCCCCATCCCTCTATTGAACATACCTACACCCCCCAACCCCTCCCTCCTCCCCTTCCCCCTCCCACACACTCGCCCCACACTTACCACGATCTCCTCCAATTCCTCTTTCGCCTCATCCACCCCTGCCACGTCAGCAAACAGCACTGGCGGCGCCTTGCCCTTCTGACTGCGCGCCTTACCCCCAAACTTCGGACATGCCACGTGGACAGAAGGATGGACAGAGTTTGAACAACATGACACATGGACGAATAAATGGATAAGTGGATGGGTGGATGGGTGGATGGGAGGATGAGTGAAAGAAAACGAGATGGCACTAGCCAGCAGCAGAGTGGAGTGCATCAAAAGCCCCCTTGCGAATTCTGAAACGCCTCAGATAGAAACCGCGAGACAATCAGCAGCAGGGTGGAATAGCATGCATGCATCAATTGCCCCCATGCGAACTCAATCCCCTGCAAGTCGCCCCTTCACAACTTCATCCACCTCATATGTGAACCCCCTCACTAACCTGCGGGAGCTTCATCTGCAGGCGTGAGAGCACGACCGCTGTTATCCCTGCGTACAAGCGAGTTGACTGGCAACGGCAACACAGAATCGGCCCCACTCGTACCCAGCACCTGCCAATGGCCTCGTGTAAACCCCCTCACTAACCTGCGGGAGCTTCATCTGCAGGCGCGAGAGCACAACCGCCGCTATCCCCGCGTATAACAGAGTGGACTGGCAACGAGAAACACACAGGGGCGCAGATGCGATGGCGTTTTGGGGGAAAGGCACGCAAGGGAAGGAGGAGTAAGGCAATTATATTACTAGATGGTGTTCACGAGTTTGAAAAACGCCTTATCTGGACCCCCCTTCTCTCCTCACTTCCATATCATCACCACCTCCCCCCGTCTCCCCATCACTGCTCACCGAGATGGTGTTCACGAGTTTGAACGACGCCTTATCCGGAGCACCAAACTCCACGTGGCGTGACATCAGCTCCGCGTACGGAACCGCCACGTCAGCAGGCTTCACTGTAGACAGCTGCACCTGGACAGGTGGCATCTTCCCCACCTTTTTCCCGGAAGCTTCCCCCGCCTCCTTCCACTTGCTCTCTGCTATTTTTTCCACCTGGCGAATCATGGGTTGTAACTCCGTCGCTTTGTGCCCTCGTGAGAATTCAGGGCGTCGCAGAACGAACGACACCTTGTCGCCGTCTACAGTAATCGACACGATATTGTCCTTCTTCACGTGGTAAAGGAACTCCGAAAACGGGACCGTGATGGAGAATGAAACGCGAGTCGTCTCCTGCTGCTGCTTCTGCAGCTGCTGCCGCTGCTGCCGCTCCTTTGCATCCAAACCCGTACCGCCAGCATCAGCACCAGCAGACGCCGATTCCTCAGACACCAGGGTATTCGCCGGTAACCCCCACTTTTCCAGGGTTACAACGACGGTCTTTGGTAATAACCCGAAGCGGCGCGCAGCGCGTTTCACGACGAGCGGGTGAGAGCTAAGAATCCGAGCAGAGAGCATCAGAACCACCAGATTCGTCACCAGGAACGTGAGAAGCTTCAGATCTGGGAGAATCCCTAAAATTAGTTTTCGCCACCATGGGGAGCTGTCGTCGCTGCCTCGCCGCGCCGGCCGCTGCGACCCGCGCCTGCCGTCCTTCCCCGCGCCGTTTGATTTAGGTGATGTGCCTTGAGCTTTTCTCCCGTCGGACGTCGCTTTGTCGTTTTTCGACCCGCCTGAACTTAGGTTGCCTCCCTGAATCTGAGACAGCTGCTGCTGCTGCTGCTGCTGCTGCTGCTGAGGGTTAGGCTGTTTCGGGTCCTGCTGCTGCTGACGTAAGCTGCCGGCTTCGGGATTCGAAGCTCCCGAGGAAGCTTCGCCGTCCGACGCGCTTGCGTTTCCTACGGAGCTGGATTGCACCAGGATGACCCGAGAAGCGGGAATATTCGCAGAAGATGCGGAGAACGAACCGCACGACGCGGGAACAGGCTCGGGAGATTCATCTGGCGTGGCGGCGTCGCCGCTTCTATCGGCGCTGGAAACGATTCTACGGAACCCGCGCGTCGAGGCGCATCGGGGAAACGGTCGCGTCGCTCTCGCGCATGCTAACCGCTTGTGAAGATCCGAGAAAAGATCCGAGGCTTGTCTGCTGTGCACTCGCGGCGGACCGCAAATCCCGGTGCTAAGCAAGCTCGTCATAGCACAGGGAGCGAGAGTTTTACGTATGTACGAAGAGCAGGCAGCGTCTCTAGATTTTAGAAGTGCACAGCGCAAGGCCAACTGCTAGCGCAGGAGCAGCATAATTCACCTAAGCTTGGAAAGCGTGGTGTACGGCGGAATTTAGGGCTGCCTGATGTGGAAGGAAGACGGACACAAACGCCCCGAAAAAGTACCCCAGGCACAACCGAGCTTGCTCTGAACAGCGCGGTGCGGTGTGGTGCGGGGTGTGGTACAGTGTGTTAGAATATGGTTTTGCTGTTATCGTTTCGGTAATGCGTGTTTCATTCCAGTGTATTTTGATGTGATGTGATGTGGTTTAGGTGTCGCTGTAGCGAAGGGTGAATGTACACTAGGTTTGGGGGAAGGGATGAAACGGGGAGAAGCAGAGCAGATACAAGTCGTTGACAAAAATGGAGCCTAGGGGTTGGCGAGGATGCACGAGCAGGTTGCGTTTTCTCGATTTTGATTGGACAAAAATCTACCACGAGCGGGTTTCGAGTTAGCCCTGGAAAAAACAGGCAACCAACCACCCAAGTATTTTACTGAACGCAACGTACAGTAAATGTATCGTGGTGACCAGTCACACCACAAGGGCCTGTATTTTTTCACACCACGTCACACATTCACGCTTTTAGCTCATCCATCCGACATCAGGGGGCCGATGAGTTGTTCTTGCCCGCATAAATCACGTGCGAAGCGAACCAGGCACGTTGCTTCACCAGTCACTCCCTCGAAAGTAGACACCAGGGCGGGTCCAGCGCGTACGTTTTCCGTACATTTCTGTTCATCCAGTACGGTAATTTGTACTTCGTCACGGTTCCAAACGGTGCGATTTTAAAACCACTTCACAGTTTACTGTGCACCGCGTGATATATTTTCAAACCACGTCAAATGACCTGTATAGTATCTGTAAACGTACGCGCTGGACCCGCCCTAAGACCTGAAAGCAGAAATTTTGAATACCGTAGCATCCCTTCTACACCACACTAGCAGATGAGCTGCTTTATGTCTAGAAATCTTAGTGTCCTCTTAGCGTCTTCTGGATGACCCCCGCGACTTTGAACGGGTAGTAGTCTGCAAGAAAAGAACAGAACCAGGATAGCATTCTTAATAACACATCTGCAATCACTGTCTATGCACAAGGACGCGTGCAAAAAAATAGGAAGAGAAAGTAAATGGCAAGGGAAAAAATACTGAAAGAAAGAAAGAAACAGAGAATGAGCTCACTGTTTGAGCAGTGTTGCCAAACCCAAACGGCATCGGGGCAGCTGGCTGAAGTGTTGGAGTGGCAGGAGCACCTGTTGACAAAAAAGCACACACACACACACACACAAAAACAAAAAACATTGACAAGCCAACTTTATAAGACTGATATGCATACACCAACATGCAAAAAACAGCAACCATAACAAAATACCAGTTGGTACATACCAAACAAGCCGCCAGATCCATCTTTTGAGGAGCTTCAAAAGGCACACACATCGACCTTTGAAAAACAGCAAGCATCACAGAATACCGGTTGTTACATACCAAACAAGCCACCAGACCCAGCAGCAGCACCCGCAGCAGGAGCACCAAACAGGGATGTCGCAGGCGCCGTTGCTGCTGCTCCAAAAGGCGACGGCGAGGCACCAGCAGCACCGAAGGGCGAAGCAGCGGGAGCACCGAAAGGAGACGCTGCTGCTGGTGTCGCTCCGAAAAGACCCCCGGTTGTGGGCCCAGCCGGGGACCCAAACAGCGACGGGGTGCTTGCTGCTGCTCCTGCTGCTGCTGGGGTTGCTCCAAAGGCCGACGCACCACCGAAAGCAGAGGTGTTCCCAAAGAGAGACGAGCCGGGGGACGAGCCTGCTGCTAATGGGTTCGGAGTGCCGAAGAGAGATGTGGTTCCCGTGGCAGCTGTGGCAGGGTTGCCGAACGAGAGAGCAGGGGCGGACGCAGCAGCAGCAGCACCAGGAGTGGTACTGCCGAAGAGTGACGGGGTGGTGGTGCCAAAGAGAGAGGTGCCTGGGGAGCTGCCGGCTGCGGCAGAGGCGGGGGGAGTGCCAAAGAGGGAGAGGCCGGGGTTGGTGGTGGTGGCTGGGGTGGTGGAACCGAAAAGGGATGGTGTGGTGGAGGCGGAGGAAGGGAAGAGTCCGCCAGTAGGGTTTGAGAGGAAAGGGGAGGAGGTTCCGGGAGTGGTGGTTCCGGGAGTGGTGGTTCCGGGTAGGAGGGAGAGCGGAGAGGAGAGGATCCCACTGCCTGTACCAGCAGCACCAGTGGCGCCAGCAGCACCGCCACCAGCAGCACCGGCAGCACCAGCGGCACCAGTACCAATGCCAGCGGCAGAGCCAAGCAGAGACGGTTTCTTACTGGCAGCAGCAGCAGCTTCGATCCGGTCCGCCTCTGCAAACGGATTGCTCCTATCGCCCCTCCTCCGCCTCTCCGCCAGAAACGCACTCCTTGCTGCGTCCACCCTCTCATGTACCCTCTCCACCTGAGCAGCCACGTGGATAAAAAACTCGTGCAGGTTCTTTATAATCACGGGGAGAGCCTCGACCGCTGCTGCCGCCGAAGCTGCCGATGCGGCTCGGGAGTATCCCGTGCCGAACCTGGATTCTGCCAGGGCTGGTTCGATGGCGGCCTGGAGCTCGGTGAGCTTGTGGCGGTACTCTGTTATTTTGACTTCAAAGCGAGCGACTGTGTCGATGAGGAAGGGTGATGGCAGGCAGGGGGTTCCCCGGTAGATGTCTGCTTGCCCTGGTTGAGAGTCATGGCAGAGGAGGTGAAGGGGGAAAGGGGGAGCTGGGTGAGCTTGTGGCGGTACTCTGTTATTTTGACTTCAAAGCGAGCGACGGTGTCTATTAAGAAAGGAGATGGCAGGCAGGGGGTTCCCCGGTAGATGTCTGCTTGCCCTGGTTGGGAGTCATGGCAGAGGAGGTGAAGGGGGAAAGGGGGAGCTGGGTGAGCTTGTGGCGGTACTCTGTTATTTTGACTTCAAAGCGAGCGACGGTGTCTATTAAGAAAGGAGATGGCAGGCAGGGGGTTCCCCGGTAGATGTCTGCTTGCCCTGGTTGGGAGTCATGGCAGAGGAGGTGAAGGGGGAAAGGGGGAGCTGGGTGAGCTTGTGGCGGTACTCTGCTATCTTGACTTCGAAGCGAGCGACTGTGTCGATGAGGAAGGGTGATGGCAGGCAGGGGGTTCCCCGGTAGATGTCTGCTTGCCCTGGGGGTTGTGGGGCCCATAGCAGGGGGGAGGGGGAGCGGGTTAAGGGGGCTCAGTGAGCTTGTGGCGGTACTTTGCTATCTTGACTTCGAAGCGAGCGATTGTGTCGATGAGAAAAGGTGATGGTAGGCAGGGCACCACCCGGTAGATGTCCGCTTGGCCTGAGGTGGGGCCCATGCCAGGGAAGAGGGGGAGAGGAGAGGGGGGGGGGGAGGGGAGAGGGTAGGGGGAGAGGGGAAAGGGCAGATAGACTTTTGAGATGGTTCAAAAGGCAGGGGACGCGCTAGCAGATGTCTTCTTGGCCTGGGACTCATGGCAGGGGGAAAGGGGGAGATAGGGAGGGGAAGGTGGGGGACACCCATCAGCTTTTCAAATTGAACAATTTCACAGCCGTAGTCTGACGCTGGAATTGGTCCAGCTGGGTCAGCCCAGCGGAAGCGGGGAATCAGTGTGTACGTCAAATCAGGTTACAGCAGGAGTTTGAAGACTAGACTTACCTGGTGCCAGGGGGTCGGCGCCAGGGAGGTGGGGGAAGCGCGAGCGGAGGAGGGAGAAGGAGCGCACTGCCAGGTCGCTGTGGTGCAGCAGGTGCTGCGCTGTGTGCAGCATGTGATGCAGCGATGCTCTCTCCGTGTCCACCCTTGATGCTACTTGTGAGAGGCTCTGAAGGGCGGAAAGGGAGGGGTAGAGAGGGGGAAATGCACAGCGAGGTCAGCAGCAGGGAAGGCTGTGGTGCAGCAGGTGCTGCGCCGTGTGCAGCATGTGGTGCAGCGATGCTCTCTCCATGTCCACCCTTGATGCTACTCGGGAGAGGCTCTGGATAGAAGGGAGAGGGAGGGAGGGAGATGGCGGGAGGAGGGAGAGGAGGGATATAGAGAGAGGGGGAGAGAGAAGGGCGGGGACGTGCGCAGGGAATGGTGGGCGTTTAGGAAGGGAGAAGCGGAGAATGTAGTGGGGTGACAACAAGGGCCTTCGCACGAATCATGAAAGGCCCACTCGCTGGTCACGAGGCCCCCGTTGGCGCCTCGTGATAGTACTCCAAACCCAAGTCGGCCACCCACCTCAGCCATATGCAACAGCCGTCCACGTCAGCTATTCAGACCAGTCCAAACCAGCCAGGTGGCTGCCTGAAACTCGATCGTCAGCCACTTGTGAGCATCTGTCAACCACACGTTTGCACACAACCACTCAACCGCATTTTCATCAACTGTGAACCATCTGTCAGCCAAAAATACAGCTACACAAGTTTACCGAACACAACCGCTGCCCACCTGGCTGACTCTAGCTGCCTGCCGCTCAAACGGGTTGTCCGCCAACTGTGAGCCATCATGCAGCCGACTGGATTGCCCCAGCCTCTGGCTCTCCGCTCGCAGCTCCAATAGCTTGCTCCTGACGGCAGTGGAAGCGAGGAATTGGAATAAAAGCAAATGAAAACTATAGCCTTATTCCAACACCATCCTACCCGCTCATTGGACGAGCCGAGATCCCACGTCGTACTTCTCGAGCAGGGAAAAATAGGAATTTTGGTCAGGAAAGGGGAGAAAAGTGGAACAAAAAAAATCTAAAACTTTCTACCCGAATCCCTGATTCGCTGTGCGAGATTCACCCGCCTTGCTCCTAAGGTACAGCAATGGCGACGCCTCTGTAATAGAATGGCTGGAGGTGAGCCAATCGGAATACACTCACTCTATGTGCGTCAGAATCTTCTGGCTGTCCGGGTGTAGCTCGCTGAACTTGGTATCAAATCCCGCCGGTTGCGGACCCCCTCGGCTGGGATCGTTATTCGTCAGCAGATGCGCTTGGCCCTGCTGAATCGCTAGGGTTAACTGTTGTTGTTGCTGCTGTTGCTGTTGCTGTTGCTGCTGTTGTTGTTGCTGCTGTTGCTGCTGCTGTTGTAGGGTTGACGGAGTGCTTGATGCGGGTGTGCTTAAAGCGGAAGTTTGGGTTCCCCCGGTGGCCGGAGTGGAAGGCTTGAACCCTCCAAACAGCGACATTTTGCCTAAATAATCTGTAAACAATCCGCAAGTCACGAAAGGTGAAGGCACTATCAGCGAATGTCGCGGCTAAGTGATCGTGTCGCCGATAGATGTTCCGCTCTAGGTTGTTCTCGCAAACAGGAGAGCAGGAGGTCCTGTGAAACAGGTGTAATGTCTAGGAGCATCCATGGCTGGAGTGACGAGTCAGGAGCCTTGTGGCATAAGCCTTAATTCTTGATTCTGAATTATGGCGTCTGGTCTGTGGTAGTCAGGGAGCCAAAGAGTAACTGGTACTGACACGTTCGATCCTTCCGTGGATCGCGTTGCTACTGTAACGGTAATAACTAAGCTACGCAGCTTGATCAGACTACAGTAGAAATAATCCCTAGATCGGGAATGGTCAAACTTCTTGATCAGGGAGAGACGCTTAGTGACCTGTTGACGGGTAACATCTCAGGATTATATCTGAACATAATACACCTGGCGACACCCTTGTGTTCTTTCGTTAGCGGAGGCGAGAACATCTGGATCCTCGTTCTCACTCGAATGTTTTTCGCATGGGCACTACTCTGGAACAATGTTTTCGTCAAAGAGTTCGTCAGCATTCTGTATCCAGCTTCGCCGAAACTCGATTTGTTCGCTCATCCCTCCCCACCTGCTCCAGCCCCTCATGTCTGTTCCACACATTTGAACTCGGACCTGCATGCCATCTCGGTTGAGAGCGATGCTATGCATTTTCAAATGGTTTGGCTACTCACCTCCCAGATCATTATGCTTGCGGAAAGCTGCCTCCTACGATGGCCCTTGGCAATTCCTTCTGAACGTGCTTGAGCGTAGGAACTTGTATTCGCACCACCTCGTCCACTCACAGCAACTTGTAGCTCCCCGTGTTACTAGAGTTTTTTTGCGAACGAGGATCAGACCCAGTTGTCGCCATGTCCCGGTTATTCAAGGTAATTTCACGGATATTGGGTTTCCGAGTTTTTGTCGTAGGAGGCAATGTTGACAGACTTACTACTATCCCTTACAAGACAGCTTACTCACTCGATCGCGCGTACAGGAATCGTATCAGGACGCTATCACTGCTGACTGTCAACGCGGGGCTGGACAGAAGGACTTGCAGAAATCTCAGAAGCAAATCACGAGTTAGATTTCTCAAAGACAGACTCACAGGATGCTTCTTGTTCAAACGCTATAACCTAATGCCCGCGGCCATTCCCACTGCTCCCATACCCGCCGGTTGCTGCTCGATCGCACCCATTCACCCATCCTTCGTCCCCTTCGCAACCCTTCCGTACCCTAGATCCCACCCTTTCGTCGGGTTGGAGACGTCATCGTTCGTCAGCAACTCTTCGTACATCACCCGTATAATGTCCATGCCACGTCATCCTTACCCCCGTTCTATTGTGTATCTCTCTCATCTCATCCCTGCGCGCCGATACCAACAACAGAAAGAGCAGATCTCGGCGTATCGCGACCGTCGATTCCGCGGCACGCAGGAGGAGTTCGAGCAGGCGCTGAGGGTCTCTACCACGGTTTACGTGGGTAACTTGTCGTTTTACACCACGGAGGAGCAAATCTACGAGGTGTTTTCCAAGGCGGGCGAGATCCGACGCATTGTAATGGGACTCGATAAGAATACAATGACGCCCTGCGGATTCTGCTTCGTTATGTGAGTAACTCTCCCTGTTGGAGACACCATCCAATGAGAGTTGAGTTGTTTCTGATACCTTTCTTCCCTCCTTCCCTACTTTCTCTCTCCCCCAATTACTCCTCTTCCTCCCCTCCTCTCTCCTGCCCTACCCCCTTTTTTTTTCCTCCCTCTCCCCTTTCCCCCATTCATCTTTTCCTTTCCTCCTCCTCCGCCCCTGCAAATCCCCCTTTCTTTTGTCGTTATGTGGGGCAGGTACTATGTGAGGGAGGACGCGGAGGATGCAGTCAAGTACGTCAGCAGCACGATCCTGGACGACCGGCCAATCAGAGTGGACTTTGACTGGGGCTACGAGGACGGGCGGCAGTGGGGGCGGGGGAGGAGCGGAGGACAAGTCAGGGACGAATACAGAACAGACTATGACCCAGATATGTGCCTCTCTCGCCTCTCGCTCACATGTCTCTCCCATCCCCTGGTGTATTTTGAGTCGACTCAAAATACACCTGGGCAAGTCAGGGACCAGTATCGATCTGACTATGACCCAGATATGTGCCTCTCTCGCCTCTCGCTCACATGTCTCTCCCATCCCCTGGTGTATTTTGAGTCGACTCAAAATACACCTGGGCAAGTCAGGGACCAGTATCGATCTGACTATGACCCAGATATGTGCCTCTCTCGCCCTGTTTCTAGCTTTGTGTGCGTGTTAAGTGGTGCCTGTGGTAAGGGAGGGAGGGGCGGGGGAGGAGCGGCGGGCAAGTCAGGGACGAGTATCGAACTGACTATGACCCAGATATGTGCCTCTCTCGCCCTGTCACTAGCTTTGTGCGCGTGTTAGCTGGGGCGTGCCTGTGTGTGTTACTACTTCCTCACTGCCTTCCCTTCCACTCCTCCCTTTCTTCTCACCTTTTCCCCTTCAATTTGTCGCTGCATGCACTGTGAGGGGGTTACGGTTGGTTGATACAGGGAGGCCAATCTGGTATGCGCTGTGAATGCCCATACGTCTACCCCTCTTCTCCCCTCTTCAATTCCCTCCTGCGCTTCCCTGCTTCCCTCACCTTCCTTCATGCCTGCACAGCGAGGAGATAGCAGCCATTCAGCAGTACAGAGCGGGCCGCTTTTCATGCCTGATTGGCTCCCCTGCCCTCCCCCTCTCCCTTTGCGCCCCTTCCCCCTAGCCCTTCCTCCCTGCACGGCAAGGGGGGTACGGCAAGCTGGTACAGAAGGAGATAGCAGCCATTCAGCAGTACGGAGCGCCGCTTTTCATGCCGTCTGTGCTGTGCAGAGTGCAAGCCCATGATTGTTTCTCCTGCTCTTTCCCCTCTCCCTCCGTGCTCTCCCTCCCCCTCCCTTCTCTTCCCTAATGCACGGCGAGGCGGGTACGGCAAGCTAGTGCAGAAGAAGATAGCGGCCATCCAGCAGTACTGGGCGCTTCTCTTCATGCCGGGAGAGGGGGGGAGTCCAGTCTGTGCTGTGCATGCCCATGATTCCCTTCCCTGTGCTCCCCCCTCTCTTCTCCCCTATCCTCTCTTGCACGGCGAGGGGGGTACAGCAAGTTAGTACAGAATGAGATAGCAGCCATCCAGCAGTACTGGGCGCTGCTCTTCATGCCGGGAGAGGGGGAGAGTCCGGACTGTGCTGTGCAAGCCCATGCTCATGATTCTTCCTCCTGCACTTTCCTCTATCCCTTTATGTGCTCCCTGCCCTCTCTTCTTTCCCTACACGGCGAGGGGGGTACGGCAAGCTGGTGCAGAAGGAGATAGCGGCCATTCAGCAGTACGGAGCGCCGCTCTACATGCCGGGAGAGGGGGGGAGTCCGGACTGTGCTATGCAGTGTGCATGCTCATGATTCTTCCTCCTGCACTTTCCTCTATCCCTTTATGTGCTCCCTGCCCTCTCTTCTTTCCCTACACGGCGAGGGGGGTACGGCAAGCTGGTGCAGAAGGAGATAGCGGCCATTCAGCAGTACGGAGCGCCGCTCTACATGCCGGGAGAGGGGGGGAGTCCGGACTGTGCTATGCAGTGTGCATGCTCATGATTCTTCCTCCTGCACTTTCCTCTATCCCTTTATGTGCTCCCTGCCCTCTCTTCTTTCCCTACACGGCGAGGGGGGTACGGCAAGCTGGTGCAGAAGGAGATAGCGGCCATTCAGCAGTACGGAGCGCCGCTCTACATGCCGGGAGAGGGGGGGAGTCCGGACTGTGCTATGCAGTGTGCATGCTCATGATTCTTCCTCCTGCACTTTCCTCTATCCCTTTATGTGCTCCCTGCCCTCTCTTCTTTCCCTACACGGCGAGGGGGGTACGGCAAGCTGGTGCAGAAGGAGATAGCGGCCATTCAGCAGTACGGAGCGCCGCTCTACATGCCGGGAGAGGGGGGGAGTCCGGACTGTGCTATGCAGTGTGCATGCTCATGATTCTTCCTCCTGCACTTTCCTCTATCCCTTTGTGTGCTCCCTGCCCTCTCTTCTTTCCCTGCACGGCGAGGGGGGTACGGCAAGCTGGTGCAGAAGGAGATAGCGGCCATTCAGCAGTACGGAGCGCCGCTCTTCATGCCGGGAGAGGGGGGCAGTCCGGGAGGCATGCCGCCCTCCTTTGGCCACTCGCCCTCTGTGCCGCGCCAACCCATGAGCCACCGCATGGCTCAGAGGTTGGGCAATCAGCAAGGACCCAGTGAGTGGCGTTGACTTGGTTTGACTTAACTTGACCTGACAGTGGACTCGCTGCCTCCCACCACCATGCATGCCCCAGTGGAGGGAGGCAGGCCACCAGGCATGCCAGGAGGCATGCCGCCCTCCTTTGGCCACTCGCCCTCGGTGCCGCGCCAGCCCATGAGCCACCGCATGCAGCAGCGACTGGGGAATCAATAGGGACCCAGTGAGTAGCCATTGGCATGTGCAAGCCAAGCTATGTGCCAGTTTCCATTCGTAAGCATAGGTATGCCCCTGGGTGGTGGTTCCCCCTCCTTTGGCCACTCGCCCTCGGTGCCGCGCCAGCCTATGATCCACCGCATGCAGCAGCGACTGGGCAACCAGCAGGGACCGAGTGAGTTACAGAAGCATGTGCAAGCCGAGCCACGTGCAAGCCACCATACATGCATAGCGTTATTCTGCCGTCACTCTTTGTTCTCGCTCTCACTCCATCTCACTCAATCTCATTCGATCCATCAATTTTGTCTGTTTGTACCTCTCAGGAAGGGCACAGCGCTACTCAAGGGATGACAGGCAGCGGGGCGGCTACAGAGGTAAGCAGTTCGGTTTAGATAGTATATCACTGTAAGTATGAGATGATATGTGATAACTTCAATAGAAAAATGTTTTTGAGAACACCGACAGACACCAATAGAGGCAGTTACACACCCCCACTTCTCCCTCCCTCCTCCGCTCCTGATAACAGATGGGGGTGGGGGAGGAGGTGGTGGGATGCGCAAGAGAGGCAGGGAGGCAATAGAGAGTGCACAATGATCCAATCCCACCCCTCTTACTCCCCCGTTGACTTTTGAGTCGACAAAAGTCAACTCGGCAATAGAGAGAGCACAATTATTCAATCCCACCCCTCTTACTCCCCCGTTGACTTTTGAGTCGACTCAAAAGTCAACTCGGCAATAGAGAGAGCACAATCATCCAATCCCACCCCTCTTACTCCCCCGCCCTCCCCCACTTCCTCACCTCCCCTTCAACTCCCACCCCCCCTTTTTCGCTCCTAATAACAGATGGGGGTGGGGGAGGAGGCGGTGGGATGCGCAAGAGAGGGAGAGACGACGATGAGCCGATGCAAGAGGCGGGGAGGGAAGAGAGAGTGTACACCCAACCAATCTCACCCCTCTTACTCTCCATCCCCTCCCCTCTCCCCATCCCCTTCCTCTTTCCTCGCTCTTTACAGATGGGGGTGGGGGAGGAGGCGGTGGGATGCGCAAGAGGGGGAGAGACGACGACGAGCCGATGCAAGAGGCGGGGAGGGAGGGACGGGAGGGCAGGGAGGAAGGTGGGGAGAGGCGAGGGGGAGGGAGGGACGGGGGCGGGCGGGCACGGTATGAGGAGAGAAGAGGGGAGGGAGGGGAGGGGAGGGGTGATAGGGAGGGAGGGGCAGGAGGGGGAGGAGGAGGAGGAAAGGGAGGAGGTGGAGAGGGTGGGGCAGAAGGGGCTGCTGACGACCAAAAGGTGAGAAATTTAAAATCCATCTCTCCCTATTTCTTCATTCACCATGTTCTCACTCGATACTGAAACAACCCTAATAAATGCCTCGGAATCTGCTTGTCTGCTGATGGTGTGCAGAAGAACCCGAGGTTCAGGGAGAGGGGGGATGATTCAGACGACGAGGGGGACAAGGCATGAGCGTCACAGGGGGTTTCTTGTAATGGACAGGAGGACGTCTGAGCTGCTTTGATTCGGTTTGTGAGGCTCCTCATAAGTCGAATTTGAGGCGCCGCAGCACTCATGTACGTTGGCCAAAGATAGAGTCTGGACACTTTAGTGTAGATCATGTGTAACAGTAAAGATGTTGGGGTCAGATCAGACATGTCTTTTGAACAAATGTCCGGATTTTCCCGTGACCAGCTTGACAGCCATCCAACAGCTTCTTTCTAAAAGATCCGAGTAACCTCAACAAATCCCTGCAAGGTGGTCTGGCTACACTGCTTGAACCCCGCTCTTGGGTCACTGTATTCTTTGGTTTGGGTACTACATAGAGGCACCTCAATTAAGAATGTTATATATCACTGGTACCTGTGAAGCCCTGTGGAGTGGTATCACTTGAATAGCTCCTCCCTTGTTGCAGCCAGAGCTACAGATACACCATCCTGAGCAGCACAGCACACAGCAGCACAGCGGCAGAGCAGCAAGCGCACAGCACAGCAGTGCAGTAAGGCAGCACGGCAGCACGGCAGCACGGCAGCACACACCCGCAGCATGGAGGGCCGCATCATCATGCCAGTATCCGTGGGCACCCATGTGATAATTACTTAGTCATGAAATTGTCAGCCTAGTGAAAACGTCACCCATGTGTCACCGTAGAGACACACAAGCATCAATCCCAAGAATCATCCCCGACAGTCATCCAAAAGACTTGTGGGTCGACTCAGAAGTCAACTTTCTACTCACTCATGAAACTGTCATGTCACCCATGTGTCACCCTAGAGACGCACAAGCATCACTCCCAAGAATCATCCCTGACAGTCATCCAAAAGACTTGTGGGTCGACTCAGAAGTCAACTTTCTACTCACTCATGAAACTGTCATGTCACCCATGTGTCACCCTACAGACGCACAAGCATCAATCCCAAGAATCATCCCTGACCGTCATCCAAGAGACTTGTGGGTCGACTCAGAAGTCAACTTTCTACTCACTCATGAAACTGTCATGTCACCCATGTGTCACCCTACAGACGCACAAGCATCGATCCCAAGAATCATCCCTGACCGTCATCCAAGAGACTTGTGGGTCGACTCAGAAGTCAACTTTCTACTCACTCATGAAACTGTCATGTCACCCATGTGTCACCCTACAGACGCACAAGCATCGATCCCAAGAATCATCCCTGACAGTCATCCAAGAGACTTGTGGGTCGACTCAGAAGTCAACTTTCTACTCACTCATGAAACTGTCATGTCACCCATGTGTCACCCTAGAGACACACAAGCATCGATCCCAAGAATCATCCCTGACAGTCATCCAAAAGACTTGTGGGTCGACTCAGAAGTCAACTTTCTACTCACTCATGAAACTGTCATGTCACCCATGTGTCACCCTACAGACGCACAAGCATCGATCCCAAGAATCATCCCTGACCGTCATCCAAGAGACTTGTGGGTCGACTCAGAAGTCAACTTTCTACTCACTCATGAAACTGTCATGTCACCCATGTGTCACCCTACAGACGCACAAGCATCGATCCCAAGAATCATCCCTGACCGTCATCCAAGAGACTTGTGGGTCGACTCAGAAGTCAACTTTCTACTCACTCATGAAACTGTCATGTCACCCATGTGTCACCCTACAGACGCACAAGCATCGATCCCAAGAATCATCCCTGACCGTCATCCAAGAGACTTGTGGGTCGACTCAGAAGTCAACTTTCTACTCACTCATGAAACTGTCATGTCACCCATGTGTCACCCTACAGACGCACAAGCATCAATCCCAAGAATCATCCCTGACCGTCATCCAAAAGACTTGTGGGTCGACTCAGAAGTCAACTTTCTACTCACTCATGAAACTGTCATGTCACCCATGTGTCACCCTACAGACGCACAAGCATCGATCCCAAGAATCATCCCTGACCGTCATCCAAGAGACTTGTGGGTCGACTCAGAAGTCAACTTTCTACTCACTCATGAAACTGTCATGTCACCCATGTGTCACCCTACAGACGCACAAGCATCGATCCCAAGAATCATCCCTGACAGTCATCCAAAAGACTTGTGGGTCGACTCAGAAGTCAACTTTCTACTCACTCATGAAACTGTCATGTCACCCATGTGTCACCCTAGAGACACACAAGCATCGATCCCAAGAATCATCCCTGACAGTCATCCAAAAGACTTGTGGGTCGACTCAGAAGTCAACTTTCTACTCACTCATGAAACTGTCATGTCACCCATGTGTCACCCTAGAGACGCACAAGCATCGATCCCAAGAATCATCCCTGACCGTCATCCAAGAGACTTGTGGGTCGACTCAGAAGTCAACTTTCTACTCACTCATGAAACTGTCATGTCACCCATGTGTCACCCTAGAGACGCACAAGCATCGATCCCAAGAATCATCCCTGACCGTCATCCAAGAGACTTGTGGGTCGACTCAGAAGTCAACTTTCTACTCACTCATGAAACTGTCATGTCACCCATGTGTCACCCTACAGACGCACAAGCATCGATCCCAAGAATCATCCCTGACCGTCATCCAAGAGACTTGTGGGTCGACTCAGAAGTCAACTTTCTACTCACTCATGAAACTGTCATGTCACCCATGTGTCACCCTAGAGACGCACAAGCATCGATCCCAAGAATCATCCCTGACCGTCATCCAAGAGACTTGTGGGTCGACTCAGAAGTCAACTTTCTACTCACTCATGAAACTGTCATGTCACCCATGTGTCACCCTACAGACGCACAAGCATCGATCCCAAGAATCATCCCTGACCGTCATCCAAGAGACTTGTGGGTCGACTCAGAAGTCAACTTTCTACTCACTCATGAAACTGTCATGTCACCCATGTGTCACCCTAGAGACACACAAGCATCGATCCCAAGAATCATCCCTGACCGTCATCCAAGAGACTTGTGGGTCGACTCAGAAGTCAACTTTCTACTCACTCATGAAACTGTCATGTCACCCATGTGTCACCCTACAGACGCACAAGCATCAATCCCAAGAATCATCCCTGACCGTCATCCAAGAGACTTGTGGGTCGACTCAGAAGTCAACTTTCTACTCACTCATGAAACTGTCATGTCACCCATGTGTCACCCTACAGACGCACAAGCATCAATCCCAAGAATCATCCCTGACCGTCATCCAAAAGACATGTGGGTCGACTCAGAAGTCAACTTTCTACTCACTCATGAAACTGTCATGTCACCCATGTGTCACCCTACAGACGCACAAGCATCGATCCCAAGAATCATCCCTGACAGTCATCCAAAAGACTTGTGGGTCGACTCAGAAGTCAACTTTCTACTCACTCATGAAACTGTCATGTCACCCATGTGTCACCCTACAGAAGCACAAGCATCAATCCCAAGAATCATCCCTGACAGTCATCCAAGAGACTTGTGGGTCGACTCAGAAGTCAACTTTCTACTCACTCATGAAACTGTCATGTCACCCATGTGTCACCGTACAGACACACAAGCATCATTCCCAAGAATCATCCCTGACAGTCATCCAAGAGACGCACCTCTGTCTGTATCTCTCGTGATAGCTCCCGTGCGCGCTCCCTCATGCCCGCACCCAATGCAGCAGCGAAGCGACTCACAACGGTCGCTACTGCTGGGACAGATATGGTAGCAAAGGCAGAAAGGTGGACAGATGATGGGGCAAAACACGAAATATGTAGAGCAAAATGCAAAATAAAGAACGTGAGGTGTGAGGAGTGTAGTGAGATACAGAATAAATGATGTGTGAAGTGCGACCAGCAAAACAGGGTAGAGCGAAATGCAGAACGCAGGAGATGCGATGGGCGAATACAACAAGGTGTGATCGCACGGGTGCAACATTGACGTAGGTAGCAGAGGCGGTGAGGCCAGTAGCGCTGGTTGAGAATGAAAGGGCAAAGGAGCTAGGAGAATAGAGTGACGCGCTCACCCTCACCTCCCACGGCCTCATTAGGCCGTCACTCACCTGTTGTCTGGTGGGTGGAATCTAGAGGCATGAGGTCCGACGGATGGAGAGGGGGAGGAGCAACACCAAGGTAGCAGAGGCGGTCTGCCCAGTAGTGCTGGTCGAGGATGAAGGGGCACAGGAGCTGGGCGAGCAGAGTGCAGAGCTTAACCTCACCTCCCACGGCCTCATTAGGCCGTCACTCACCTGTTGTATGGTGGGTGGAGTCTAGAGGCATGAGGACGGATGGGGTGAGAGGAGTTGGGGCGACCCCAAGGTAGCAGAGGCGGTGAGCCCAGTAGTGCTGGTCGAGAATGAAGGGGCACAGGAGCTGAGGCACGCCTGCTCGCAGCGCTGCTGCTGTGGTGCCGCTGATGGGTGGGTGCAGATGGGTGCATGGGGATGCATGTGGGTGCAGAGATAGAGACGAAAGGCATAAGGACAGCATGCATCCCCTTGCACCCACATGGAGATACATGCTGGGAAATACATGCTGGGGTGCATCCCCATGCACCCAGCAGCATGCCAAGAAACACACACGCATGGGAAATAAGGCCTTCGCAGCCCACCTGTCTTCCTTTGCCAGCACCACCCAAAAGCAGACAGACAGTTGGAATCAGTTGGTTTCGATCCGCAGCAAGCCTACTAAGAGTCCACCTGTCTTCCTTTGCCAGCACCACCCAAAAGCAGACAGACAGACAGGCAGACAACCTCCCCCCCCCACCTTCCCCCCTCCTCCACACCCACCTGAGCAGCATGCCACGCACCTGAGCAGCATGCCACGCACCTGAGCAGCATGCCACGCACCTGAGCAGCATGCCACGCACCTGAGCAGCATGCCACGCACCTGAGCAGCATGCCACGCACCTGAGCAGCATGCCACGCACCTGAGCAGCATGCCACGCACCTGAGCAGTATGCCACGCACCTGAGCAGCATGCCACGCACCTGAGCAGCATGCCACGCACCTGAGCAGTATGCCACGCACCTGAGCAGTATGCCACGCACCTGCCAGCGTGATGCAGCACAAAGCAGCAGCGGGGGAACAGCCACTCGTGACAGACAGGCCTGGGAAAGCGTTCAGGGGGCAATGGTGCAAAACGGTGGGGAAGGAACGTGCAAGCGTTGGGGGGGATTTGGGGACTTCAAACGTCTCAACGCAAAGTGACTCTAAATGACAAGAACGAGTGACCGAAGGACAAGGAACCTGGCCAGGACCCTGAATGCAGGAAGGACAAACAACAACCACCGAGGACAAGGAGTGATCAAAGGACAAGACCCTTCCCCTTGCAAGTAACCTGAATGCCGCAAGGTCTCCCCGCTTCCTTCCACACACACACCATACCGTCCCCAATTCCTGTCACGTAGGACCACACAGGCAATTTTCATTTTCCACTGAGAGCAACAAGAAATCGACTCACCCCCGGAGGACAAGGACCCTCCCTCTTGCAAGCAGCCTTGGAATGCCGAGAGGGACGAGCGGTGAGGATGGTAATAGGGGTGGTGCTGGTTGGGGTGTTGTTGGTTTAAGTGGTGCTGGTTGCGTTGGTGGTTGGGCTGTGCGCTGGGACAATAATATGCCTCTATTGTCTACAGACAGTGTGCCTCTGCTCTTAACAATCGAATCTGTTCCTCTCTCCTGCGACTCATCTTCCTCCTCCCCCTGCTCCTTCTGCTTTTCCTGCTCTTCCTCCCTCCACACTGCCGCAACTGCCTCCTCCAATGCGCTGTCGCCACTTGTCACGACCACAGCTCGCAGGTTGAGGGCCTTAGCTGCAGCGATGATGGTGGTGATGAGAGAAATGGGGTGCGAAAGGAGGCCCATGCTGTGTGGAGGGACAGGGAGACAAGAGAGAAGGGGAGGGCCTTCAGATTGAGGGGCTTCAGCTGCAGCGATGATGGTGGCGAGGAGCGAAGCGGGGTGCAGGAGGAAGGCTCAATGTCCATGCTGCAGTGGGAAACAGATAGGGGGGGCGGAGTGGCGTGGAGATGGTGAGGACAGATGGCAGCACGAGATGAGTCGATTTTTGAGTCGACTCAAAAAACAAACAGATAGAGGGGGCGGTGTGGCACGGAGATGGTGAGGACAGATGGCAGCACGAGTGTGACAGGGAGACGGAGGGAAGGGGGGACAACAGCTTGTGAGACGTCTCAGAAGAACAGCTTGCAGAGAAACAGCACGAGGCACACCATCACTATTGCTCCCTGCATCACCCACCTGCCCACCACCCACCTGCCCACCACCCACCTGCCCATGGAGCTGAACCCCACATAGAACACCTCGCTCTGGCAATGGTGCCGTGAGCCAGGCGCATGAGGGGATTGCCTACCAATATTGCACTTCACACAGCACCCCGCCCCCATGCCCACTGCATCACCCACCTGCCCACCACCCACCTGCCCATGGAGCTGAAGCCCACATAGAACACCTCGCTCTGGCTATTCCGTGAGTCAGACGCGTGAGGAGGTTGGAGGAACTGAAGGAGGAGCTGCAATTAAGGAAGAGTGAGAATGGGAGAGGGGTATGGGAGAGGGGTATGGGAGAGGAGGTGCATGGAAAAAGCGACAGGATGGCAAACGGGAGAGGCAGTACATGGGACCCGTATTTAACTCCAGCTCTTGACCTTGAGTAGCTTTCATGTGGTTAAGAGCTCCACTAGGTGACTTTTACTCAAAGAAGAATATAGGAGCCATTCTGGCATCAAGGAAGCAGAAAATAGTCGTTTTCATTACAAGGGAAAACACACACACACACACACACACACACACACACACACACACACACACACACACACACACACACACACACACACACACACACACACACACACACACACACACACAGAGATGAAGAAGGGCCAATATGATTTCTTTGTTGACAGCAGTGAGTCAGAAAGACCTTACTAGCTCTTCACTTCTGTCCGAGGATATATGGTTCTTCAGCAGGTCTTGTGTTTCCGTTTCCTCTCCTCCTGCAGCTGGTGCTGCTTCTGTCGCCACTTCTGCTACTGCCGCTGCTGCATCTTCCTCTGTCTTTGCTGCTGTTTGGACTGCAAGAGAAGCATCTAGTGGAACGTCCTGGTGTGATGGCGGAAACCAGAAGCCACAGACCTTGATAGATGCAGGCCAGTACGCTGCAGGAGGGGAGAATGGGCGGACGGGGTGGTTAGGACGGTGATTTCTTTCCTCAGATAACAGTTTTTCAGAAGCCTTGGAGGTGGGAAGGAATTGTACAAACGCAGCAAGCTTCCAAGGAGTGTTGGGAAGGCATCGGGTTAATGCACCACCCAGCTGTTCGTGTTGCCATGGATGGCAACGCCGTCATTTAGATGCCGGACGTCCAGGAGCCAATCCTGGTCAACATTTCTACTAAAACGTGCGTGGTCTGCTCCAGCAACCATCGCACTAGGGATCCCAGCAGATTTGCTGCTGTCAGGAAAAACCGCATCAACAACCCGTTCTTCATCACTTTGAGAAAGATACCGTTGACGTGCTGGAGCTGTCCCAAGGTGATGAGAAACGGGTTGTTGATGCAGTTTTTCCTGGCAGCAGCGAAACTGTCGTGATCCCTAGTGCAATGGTTTCTGGAGCAGACCACGCATGTATGGATAGAAATGTTGAACAGGATCGGCTCCTGGACATCCGGCACCCGAACATTGGCTCCAGGTAAGCATGAATGTTGAACATGGTAAGGTAAGCATTGCATACTCACATGGGCACTCGACAACAGCTGAGCTAAAGCCATACCTGATGTGGGGACATCAGGAGGGAAGGAGGGAAGAAAGGAAAAAAACGGGGGTGCTGATGGCATCAAAGATTACAATGCTGGCGTTTCCCTTTACCAGGATATTCACTACAGGATTTTCACTGAGAGGTGGGCCATAGCCACAAGTTTCAGCACAAGCAGGAAGCCCCCATCTTGCATACACTTTATATGAATATATCTCAAAAACTAGTTGCATTTGTGACAGAGGGGCATGGTTGAGAAAGAGTCAGGGTATTTAACTGTTGTGTGCATAGGATGATAGTACATACAGCAATGGTGTGGGCGCTGGCCATTCGTGAATCGGCTCATCTGTTACTGGATCCTGCCCAGGTTCAAAGTGAGACCATTTGTTTGGAGCAAAAAAACCTCAAAAGTTGCCGCAACAATGAATCAGCTCATCTGTTACTGGATCCTGCACAGGTGCACAGGTTTTGTCATACGCCATTGGTTGGTAGAGTGTTATTGGTGTCGCCATGCGTCAGGTTAGACTCTAAACCTTGACCAAGAGAAAAGAGCACTATCTCAACAACATGACAAAAGGAATAGAGACAAAAAGGGACCGAGGGAGGAGAGGCGGGGGGGAGAGGCTGCGGCATTAAGCCCTAAAGGATGTGGAAGGATCTTCTAGTCGACTCAGAAGGCCCTTAAGTTGACCTAGAAAAGGCCCTAACCTAAAGGTTGTGGGAGGGAGGAGGACGCACCAGGAGAGCACAGGGAGGAAGGCACAGAGAAGCTTCCCTCCACCGCGCCCACCGGTGGCAGGGGAAGAGCAGCGGCCACATCCACTCAGCTACCTCGGCCCATGATAGCTGGAGGAGGGTGCGGACGGTGGGGGCAAGAAAGAAGGCAGGGGGGGAGACTAAGAGGTGGTCACCTCGGCTCGTGCGAGCTCGGGGGGAGGGAGGGAGGGGGTAGAGGTGGGGAGAGAAGCCGCACGTAGCTCACGTGAACAGCATAAAGCCACCATCCGAAATATCACCAACCTACCTCGTTGGGACTGGCTGCACGTTGCAAGCGGCGAACAAGAGACGGGTGGCTGCGAGCAAGGAGAGAAGGGAGCTGGTGGGGAGGCCTGTGGGGTGGCTGGGATGCATGGTTCAAGTCGACAAACATCTCACCTCATGGGGACTGGCTGCACGTTGCAAGCGGCGAACAAGAGACGGGTGGCGGCGGGCAAGGAGGGACGGGAACTGGTGGGGAGGCCTGCGGATTGGGAGATGTGGGTTCCTCCGACAGGAGAGGAGCGTGGCGATGCGGTAGGGAGGCAAGGGTGGGTGGTGAAGAAAGGATGCACAGAGGGGTTCAACTGAAGGAAGAAGAGCTGGTGTGGGTAGTGAGAGCGAGTGTGGAGAGCGAGTGTGGGGAGCGAGTGTGGGGAGCAACGAGGGAAGGAATTGGTGGCGAGGCCTTTGGAAATCAAGACCAGACTGCGGAGAAAGAGGAACAATGTCGGAAAAAAATGGTATATAGGCCATGAGTGAAGCAAAGAGACGTGTAGAGTACAATGGTTCCCTGACGCGTATTTTTGAGAATTCTCAAAAGTACAATGGTTCCCTGACCTCTGGTTCCCTGACCTCTGGTTCCCTGACCTCTGGTTCCCTGACCTCTGGTTCCCTGACCTCTGGTTCCCTGACCTCTGGTTCCCTGACCTCTGGTTCCCTGACCTCTGGTTCCCTGACCTCTGGTTCCCTGACCTCTGGTTCCCTGACCTCTGGTTCCCTGACCTCTGGTTCCCTGACCTCTGGTTCCCTGACCTCTGGTTCCCTGACCTCTGGTTCCCTGACCTCTGGTTCCCTGACCTCTGGTTCCCTGACCTCTGGTTCCCTGACCTCTGGTTCCCTGACCTCTGGTTCCCTGACCTCTGGTTCCCTGACCTCTGGTTCCCTGACCTCTGGTTCCCTGACCTCTGGTTCCCTGACCTCTGGTTCCCTGACCTCTGGTTCCCTGACCTGTAAGGCATGACGTATGGTGCCGCTGCCATGCACTTGACTCCAAAATGCTCTGCTATGTGCCATGCTTCCTGAATGGATGAAGGGAAAAGGGGGAGAAAGAAAGACCAAGGGCATGGCATGGCATGTGCCATGCTGACTTTTGTGTCGACTCGAAAGAAAGACCAAGGGCATGGCATGGCATGTGCCATGCTTCTGCTGGTGAGCGCATGGATGGTGGGAGCAGTGGTGGTGGGAGCAGTGGTGGTGGGAGCAGTGGTGGTGGGGAGGAAGGAGCACCTTACAAGCGCAAAGAGGTTGAACACTATCAGCTTGCGTATCTCCTGCACCTCGCCACCCATGCTGCTCCTGTTGCTGCAGCCTTTCCTCTCCAGTCCCTCCGTCCCTTCTACATCATCCGCCTCATCCGCCCCCTCCGTCCCCTCCGCCCCGTCACAAGCCGCCAGGCACTTTCGGATGGCTTCAAAGCACTCCCTGCGATGCCGACCCTCCTCCTCTTCTCCCCACCCCTCCTCTTCTCCCCACCCCTCCTCTTCTCCCCACCCCTCCTCTCCGTTGTCATTCGTATCCCCCCCTTCGTTCCCTTCTTCTTTTCCTTCACTCACACTTAGAATCCTCCTCCGCTTTCTCCCCTTTCCCTGGTCAATCTCCCCTCCCTCCTTTGCCTTCCCTCTTTCTCTCCCCTCGCCTTCCCCCATCCCCTCTCCCTTCCCTACTTCCCCCATCCCCTCTCCCTTCCCTACTTCCCCCATCCCCTCTCCCTTCTTCCTACTTCCCCTATCCCCTCTCTCTCCTCTCTCGTTTCTAACGGTTCTTCAGTCCACTCTTCCTTTTCTGCTTTCTCCTCTGCCATCTCCCGGTCCTCTCGTTTCCTGAAGGCAGGAGAAGAAACTCCCACAAACCCCACTCCGTGGGCTGTTAGGTTCGGCCCAAGGCTGCGCTGCAGGTAAGGCACGGGACACCAGAGAGGAAAAGGGGAGTGGAACAACGAAAGATTTGAAACGAAATCTTTCTTCGCCTGAAACGTACGTGATACATTGAAAAACAGACCTCAGGAAACAGGAGACCTGAAGAGGAAACAGAGACATGAAGGGGAAACCACACCTGGTGCACTTGATGAGTCACGAACCACACTGCTATTGACGTTTCCCCTTCCCTCCTTCCCCTGACCTCTTTTTTCCCGTACCCTCCACGCTTTCTCCCCTCTTCCTCCCCTCCCTCTTCCCCCTCTTCCCCTGCACCCCTGTCTCTCTCATCTTGGGCCCCCTCTGCAGCGAGTGCTGATGCTAGCACCTGCACAGAGGGTGGATGAAGGGGGGAGAACGGGGTGACTTTTGAGGCGCCTCAAAGGTCTGTATCTCTGATCTTGGACCACCTCTGCAGCGAGTGCTGATGCTAGCACGTACAGGGAGGGGGAATGAACGTGGGGGAATGGGTTGCAAGGAGGGGAAGGAGGGGGTTGAAGGTAAAGGGGGGAAGAGGGGAAGAGGGGAAGGTAAGGCGGATGGTAAGGGAAGATAAGGAGGAAGGTACGGAAAGGCGAGGAGGGGGAACGGCGAGGAGGGAGGAGGCGACGAGGGGGAAAGGCGACGAGGAGGCGAGGAAGGGGAAAGGCGCGAAAAGGGAAGGGAGAGGAGGGGGAACGGCGAGAAGGAGGAATGGCGAGGAGGGGGAAGACGAGGAGGGAGGCGAGGAGGGGCGAATACGAGGAGGGGCGAATACGAGGAGGGGCGAATACGAGGAGGGGCGAAAACGACGAGGAGCGACTACGACGAGGAGCGACTACGACGAGGAGGGACTACGACGAGGAGGGACTACGACAAGGCGGAAGAGCCTACCGCAAGTGGCTGCACGTCCCCTCGCGTGCCGAACGCGACGAACACCACAGTCGCGCGGGTGACTGGTCGGCGACGGTCTTGCTCCAT